CATGCCCGTCTTGAAATCAGCAATGAATCTTTTGATTGAATCTAAGTGGAACATTTTTTATTAGAAATATGTCCTAGCAAACGTATGACGGAAATTATTGAGTATTTTAAGGGTCGGACTGAAGCAGCACCTTCTTCCATGTCGTTCAAGGACGATTACGAAGAAGAGCTACCGTGCCTAGATCATGAATTCCAGTGTCACACTGGCGAGTGCATTGACAAGTGAGCTCATACCGACCATTGCACGTTCTTTTCGCATCTCCTCCACCTGGGCCTTAGGCTCCTCAAATGATATATTTAGGTTGGGTTTGTATTGACTAGTGATAAGTTGCGTCAACCTCAAGTATTCGTTATTGGTCCAGCTTTTATTTTTTGCCTATTCTTTTTGCATGCAGATTTTTATGTGATATGCAACCAAAGAGATGCTGAGATATGTGCAAAACTCGGAGCTTCACTTGAGATTCGAGCCCACAATTACCTTTCTTGTAGTTCAAATGTTATCCATTGCAGCAATGTGGCCCTTGCTTTGCATTTCTCTCCACAGCTTATTACCCTAACGGTGCCATCACCAGTCGGCGGGAACGATCTGGGAAGCGGAAATCAGCATTGATTTCGATTACGCTGAAGCTGTCGTCAAGTCCGCAATGTTATAATTTTAATTTTACAACGCTTTGACCTTTGTTCCAATTCTATTTTACTTTTGCCTTTTTGCTGCTCTAATTTTCTACAATATTAAATATGACGAAGAGGAAGGTAAAGCACATGCTTTGGTTGGTGTGGTGGATAGCACGTGCACTTCCGGCGGGGTAACTGTGGGCTCGAAGCCGAAACGAAGTCTGAGGTTTTGCACATATCTTAGTACCTCTATGGTCATTATTGCTTGCCGTCGTTTCAGAACAATTTCGTTTATTCCCAACAGTTCCGGTTTACCATATTTCTGACTCTTGCGATTGTGGTTGCTATCACTTCGCTGGACGCTCCTTCTTTTGTGCTCTATTCACTGTTTCAATTTAAACTCTCTGAAACGACAAAAACAATAAATTCTAGTTTTGAGTGAAGCATACTGTTTCCTACTGCCCATTAAATGTATCTAATTATGAGTTGTATTTCCTCTTATAAGGGCTCGTGTGGCGTAGTGATCGGAGGCACCCTGCACCACACACGTGGAATCGATTCCTGCGCCTATGGCTCACCAAGCCTTCCATCCCTTCAGAGTAGGCAATTTGGTACCAGACTTGTCTGGAGGATAGCAGCACTGGCTCGATACATCAGTAGGCCGCCACGAGTCATTGTAAAGGCCAGATATGCATTCAATCGCCTCTAAACGATGCTTAATAAAGTCGAATGCATGGCACGTCCCTTAAGGATTGATCAACGCTGAGAGCTTTATTCTTTTTCATCCTCTCTTATAAAAACCTTCAGTCGAGATTTCGTTAACGGTTAGTTAAAGCCGTTAACGTTAAGGATTGTATATGTTGTGCGAATCAAACTTCTGAGAACATAGGAAAAATCATAAAGTTAACTGTTTTCCTTGAATTTGGAATAAAGAAGCCGCTTACAGAAAAAGTGCAAGAATTTGCTACAGAGTAAGTTTCAGACGACGTCTGTGTGACTCGCGAGCCGACTGCGAAGATGGATCGGACGAGTCCCACTGTCCTGCACGACATCTCCAGCCCACACGCACCGTTGGTGAGTTGCTTTCTCAACGTCGTATTCTTGTAGGTGTAATCAGCGACTATGGTAGGCTTCTGCGGTGCAATTATGCACGAATCGAACTGTTCTTCCATTCAGGTTTGCTTGGTGTCTGGAAGGCGTGTTCATATTTTCCATTCCCTAGGGTATTTTGTTGTTCAGAATTCCATCCAGAGGAAAGAGTAGGTGCTATGTTGAAATCAAATGAACTAAAGCGTATTCTTTACTGACTTTTTCTTTCCCAGCCATCCTGTTTCTGTCCAGGTTCTCTTCGTCATCTCTCTCTCTTCTTCATTACTATGTCTTAGAATTTGGGCGTGGTCTCTCGCAATTCTCACTTTTCTCATTCTATTTACAATCAACGACATTGCTATCATATTTACCTCTCAATTTCTGATATAACGTTCCGAGTATCGCCGCACTTGATCACCTTTTTTTTTGCAATGTTCTTTTAAAAAAGGCAAATGTTTGTGTGCTTTTACAGCACAAGGCAAAGTGGTGGAATGAGCACCAGTCGGCTGATACTGATGTGAATAAGTATTGCATGCAATATGTGGTGCTCTTTCATGCTTCCAGTGGTGGCGTACATTTGTGAGACACCTGTTAGTTATCCACTGCTTGATTACACTGCGAACCTTCAACATTTGGAAGAAACAGCGTTCTCTCTTTCGTTCTCTTAGTTCTCTGCTACGTATCTTCCCACACAAGTGAGAAGACCTTCCAGTCTTTTCACTTCACACATTTCTAATCAATGTTTTCACCCGAAACGTGACAAACGACTGCTTCTTCAAAAGATGGTAAAGCTTTTCCACCATACGGAACGAATCTGACTGTGACCCACGTTGTTTCCAAAGCTGACCTATTCCACAATATCTGACCTCCTCATGTGGGCAGCCTAAAAAACACTTGCTTTCACCAATATATGTTACTACTGTTGCTACTACGAGACTTCATGTTACCAGTGGGGAGCGATTCAAAAGGAGGTTCTGACAAGCCATTCCGATTCCTCGCTTTCTGCTTCGTTGTTAGTTTAGTTGCAGAACTACTTACGAGGAACTAAGGATGACTGATATTAAGTAACGTCGATGTTCAACAAATTTACAACATTTTTCACATTTGTTTCCTATTTTTTAAGTTCACAAAGATTGGCAATCCATATGATCGAAAAATAAAAGCTTTTTTCCAGAATTAGGTCTCCGTTTCTCCAACCACGCTGAAGCAATTACTGTGTTCTCCATAAGTCAAACAACTCAAACTCAACTGTACATTTGCATGCCCCATTTATACAGAAAGCGCAGCGCTTCATTTTTTGTCTCATCGAAAAGTGCTTGAAATGTTGTTCTATACTTCAGGTCAATAACAACATTGGTCTGTTCAAGTTTAACTTTTTCTTACCTCTTAACACTACTCTCCCATACAATCGCATTGTCGGTTTGTCCATAGTTCATTTATTCAACTTTCACCTGTAAATGCTCTCTGCCGTCGAACTTCCTAGTTATTTCGAGATTATGTTATGTCTTCTGGGATTTTGTGAACGAAAAATGGTCACAAGAACCGTAGAAGGTTTCCAACCGTGCCAAACAGCTTCCTTCTACTTATCCCAATCTATCGATATTTCTGATTGTTTCCTTTCTTTCTATATTTCCTCTGATGTGATCCGTTGTCGTTCACTATGCTCTCTGATTTCAACCGTTCTCCCACTTACAAATCGGGTGGTTCAGGATGCTTGGGAGGCAGCTTCGGCTGCTGTGGTGGTTAGCCATTTTGGCTGCTGCCTCTGCTGCGAAACGAAAGCATCGTCAAACGTGTAAGTTCTTCAGATCCCTGACACATTTGACCACCATTTTTCGTATCCACTTACTATAACCTTTCGAATGTGGTGAAACCTGTGCTACCTTGCTGCGCTTAAATGTAATTGTTGTTTTTTCTACCATTATTATGTATTATTAGCTTTACGATTCAGAAACTACGGTGATAATCGATGTTTCACTTTACCATGTTTGCGTAGAGCGTAAGACAAACGGTTTCCCGACATAAATTGGTCGTTTTATGGTGCTGACAAATCGTCTGAATCGAATAGGCATTCAGTTGTTTCTGAACGCCTACGTTGTCGATACTGACAGCAAATAGTAAAGTAATAATAGGTATGATTGCGGCGACATTGGCGTTCGACCCGGGATGACCTATGGTACGCGGACGATACGGGTTATCTCTCCCACTGATCAGTGACTCCAGTAACAACAAATTTTAAAGATGAAAATATTTGATATTAGGAGTAGAAGTTAGCTTGCTTATTGCTTTCCTTTTTGCTGTCCATCGAAATTGGTGGATTTTTTTGAATATTTTCTGTACCGAAGCTAAAACATCTCTTACAGTATTGTGCTTGAGGATATGTTATAGCTACAACAGCAAGAGTTTTTCTCGTCGTGCACCCTCCAGCATGCTTCTATTTTTCACCAAGAGTTTTTATTTTCCTCAGCATTACGAATTTTGCGTAGTTCTGAACCGCAATAAATCGCGGAAATTCATTATATGCATCGCTCTGTAGAATAATGGTCATTCCTTTACGAGACTCAGGAGAACCAGCGATGGTGTTATCGGCTTGGGCGCTGAGAATCGGTATGTCAGTTGCATCACCAAGGTTGTCCGACTGGATTTAGTCATGAGTGATTAGAGAGGACGATTCCATCATCTTCAGCGATAAAACTACGAAACACGTAATCTCACCAGTGTAGACCCCAGAAAACCATATATAGCACGCGTTTTGATCACTGGCTATTGCGTTCATTACGAATGGGAAACAACAAAACTCAGCACCAATATAATGTGCTTGAGAGAAAAACACCTATGGACAGGTTACCGTATTTTCCACTTCACGTCAATAATTGAGACGATAGCACAATCCCTCCAAATTAACTGATTTCCACATTACAGAATGCTAATCGTAGCCTCATCGAATAAGATTTTTGAATAAACTCATGTTTACATGATTAAATTATATTTTTTGACATATTTCAATTTTTCCGTTACACAGCAGTAATGGTATTTGCAAATTTTTCCCTAGCGAGTTCAATAATAACTCGGTGTAACTATGCTGGCAGACTCAACACACATCTCGTTTATATAAAATCGAAATCGTTTCATACCACATGCAGTGAACACAACTGGTGGGTGACAGCCATCAACACTTTACTGGGGTCACTGTTCACGCTTTACTTTCTCCACAGAAAAAAAATAATTTGTTAAAGTTATGACGTTTCCGCAATTTCAATAATTTGTGGTGTGTTTCAGATCAGGACATCGCCCAAGATGGCGCTAACGGTGAGTGAAGTAGTTGATTGATGTCTTCTATTTATTGGCTCGATTGTTTTGCTGGTGTGGTGTGTCTTTGTGGTTATCGTAAACCCGTTCGTATAGAGTGACTAGGAAGGTAGCGGCGCATTTCCTTTTAGTGTGTGTCTATCGCTAAGGTTGAGTAGCACCTAATTGTCGAGGGTCGTTTTTCGTCACCAGTTTTTAATGTCCAAAAGCTCGTGCCTGGAACGTTCACCTTCAATGCAACTGCTAGTGTTGTTTACGGATGGTCTTTTGTGACATGCGTGGTGTTGCCCATCACTGAAAACTGGCCGACGGCTAGTGGCACTTGGAAACTGAGTGTAATCGTCTATGTGGCCACATAAAATCAATGCCTCATCGAATCAGATTCTTAGTATATTCATCTCTGGATAATGAACAGCGCTGTTTGCGATGATCTGACATGGGTATTCGTCAACGGAAAAGTTGTGTAAGAAGTCAGATTGAGGCGCCTTTCATGTTTTCGAAACATAAACAACAATTCTAAGTGATTTAAATATGATTTAAAAAGACAATTGAGTCGTTTGATGCTGAATTACTACGTGAAGCAACAAAAAGAAGCCGGTATGTCCAAGTGGGACAGCTGGGTCGTCTTCGCTCCTCAATACCTGACGAAATGCTTAAGAATTTCTTTCGAACCTCACGATCAACTTGTTGCTTTTCAATGAACTAATGCTTGGTTCTCGAAAGAACCTACTACCCTTCACATTTAAAACTGACAACTCGCATGCTAAGTCGACTTGGAAGCACGAAAAGGAGGAAATTGATTGAAATGATACTCACGGTTAGGGAAATTTTCAGTCTGCAAACCTGTTGTTCATCTCAGAATGTTGCCTAATATTCTAGATTTGTAATGTGCATTTTTTGCGCATCTCATAATTTCAATTTGTCACTATAAGTACCATGAGTTAAACACAGACACGTGTAGCGCAGTGGTCGGAGATGTCCTGCAATACACATAGAATCGATCCCCGCGTCGCAGGTTCACTAAATTTTCCATCACTCCGAGGTCGACAAATTCGTCCGACTTGTCTGAGAGGATAGCAGCACTGGCTCGAGACATCGGTAGGCCACCGCGAATCATTGTAAAGACCAAATATGCATTCAATCACCTCCAACGTTCCTTAATGGAGTTGAATGCATGGCGCATCCCTCAGCAATTGATCAACTTCGTGAGCTTTATATTTTTTCAGTCTACTATGCCTATAAAAACTTTACACGGCTAACGTTTGAAAGCATTCCTCTTCTTCAAAGCGGAAATGATTCAAGTCGATTATTCATAGCCTCTCACTCCTCGTAATCTCATCGAGTCCATGCAGTGGGTAAATTTGAATGAGTCAAGTAATATTATGACACCAGCCCGCGCACTTGGGGATAATGGTCTGGGGAGATGATTCGAGAAAAATGTGGCATATAGACCTCAAGCTCAAAGTCAGTGACGCCGACTGCATCTCCTTTCTAATAAATTACATGACAAATGCTTTTCCACTTTAATGCATTAGTCTCTATGATGTCTTCCTTCACTATTCGTATTCCCAGGAGGTTCCTACGCTCGCCGTTACTATTATAATTTTTGCACATACCCCAGCATTTTGGGGAGACTGCGTCATATTCATCCTTGAACGTTCTTGAAGTTAAACGGCAAAGTAAGACGTCTGCTACCAAAAAAAGGATTCTATGGACCTGAAATCATCTGAACCTTTGAGTGAGCGCTTAGCTGGAAGTTGCAGAAGACGTACTTTTAAAGGCCTAATATGTAAACACAGTGTGCAGAATTTTATCAAAATATTAGTTTGGCAAAAATTGTAGGTTTTTTTATTATTTACGTCTTTTCACCAGTCAGCTGTCTTCTGTTCAGATATACAAATAACGGTGTATCCTTCCGAGGCACATGTTCGGGAAGGTCGAGAGGTGGTATTCGACTGCCGTGCCCGAATCGCCGACAACTCTTTCTATCCGCCAACGAGGTAATGCATAATGACATTTACCAGTGTGTCGTTAGAATGGAAGGGATTTACGTTGTGTGCATACTGCTAGCATACTGTGTTTTCCTTTGTTTATCTAGTACAGTACACCTCAACCTTCTTCAAAAGATTTATTGAAAGCGGAAGCCTGGCCAGGGCTACCCAAGAAATAGGTTTCGCAGTTCGACGACATTTCTATTGAAAGTTTTTGGGGAGTTTTCAGTAAAAATCAGTATTTACCACTTTGTCTTGGTTTTCGAGCACAAAACGGATCATTTTGGGATCAGCTACACTAATGATCAACAACAAAAATATTGACTAAAGCATGCATGTTTTCAGCCATGTCTCTACGATTTCGGGTATTTAAAATGAATTGTTATGCCCCAGACTGAATCGTCGATCTTTAATCAACAAACCTTTTAGCTTTTTTAGCCCTTTTTCCGTCACTTGCGTTTCGGTTTTTTTCAGATGGACAAAAGTTGGCGGGCCGTTACCTCCGCATGCTTACGAGTCTTCTGGGCGGCTCACGATTAAGCCTGTATCGTTGTCAGATTCCGGACAATACGCATGCGTTTCCACTCACAAGGGTAGGACCGTTGAAGCTCGTGCCACACTGCATGTTCAGTCGTGTAAGTCTACTTTTTCGCAATAGGAAACATGTAGTTTCCCTAGGTATAAATTATTTCGGATATAATAATAGGTAATAGCGCGTTCGTTCCGTCTGCACACGCCTACAGACCAGAGTTTTGCAAATATCTCAATATCATTGTGGTTCTATTACATCCAATATCCTCCCGTGAAAAATACTAAAAAGCAGTAAAAAGTTAACATTGTAATTACGATTATAGTCTCGGGCTTAACTGGATTTATTGCCGATTTGGGCTCCCCAGGTCAATCTTGTTTGACGGGTGACTGCTGATGGCACTGATCAATAGGAAGTTAGCTGAGAGACATCTAAATGAAAGACCTGCATAGTGTGTTGATGAACGCGTTAACCCGCGGAAAAGGTAATAGCGCGTTCGTTTCCACAGCAGACACCTGCAGACCGGAGTTTTGCAAGTATCTCAGCATCATTGTGGTTATTTAGGACAGTTCTGGCTTTTATTTTTGGCCTACTCCTTTTCTGTAGCGGGGTAGAATGTAAAATGCAATCATAGGATTTTATTATTTTTTAACAGTTTATATTTCGTGAGCTGGAGCATTCGTTAATGTTTCCTCTAAAACGTTCTTGTTTCAACTGGATTACTCTTCAGCCCTGAATATCCAGTGGGTGAAGAATTACCATCGCGCGCAACTCTTATATGCTTCCTAGCTTGACAAACTTTGACGTTTTCTTATTAATACAAAGAGCTGTGCATATTTGAGAATGTTCGTTAGATGGTGTTGTTGAACTCTTGTATGTTTGCCGCAGTTTAGCCGGTATTTTGAGCGCTGACCTTCCATTAGACGTGTTTTTATGCTTGCGGTCTCACTAGTTATCACCACCGTTCAACTGCCAACGTCTCTCACCTGAAATGCGAGCGATCGAGCACTAGAGGAATTCGCACCATTTATATTAAATTCCTGTTTGCTTCCAGTAGATTATAAAAGTTAAACTGGTCATCACTACTCTGTTCTAACAACGAGCCAGCGTTCAGGCGTTCGTATGCAACAGTCGTTAGCTTGAAGAAAATTCATTTCAAATCGATTTTACTCTGCGTTTGTTTGATAGTAGTGTAAGGACGTGAAAACTGCCCACTGTTTTTGTGCTCAAAACGAGGACGAAGAAATGGAAAATTAGCACTCGAAACGGGGCAAGGGATCGATTTTACTGAGAGTTTAAATAATGAAAACAGGATAATATGTGGCCATGACCAAGGCGTGGTTGAAAATTCCTCAGCAGTTTTTTGTTGAAATTATGAGCCCAAAAATCGTGGCACCTTCTTTGAGCTCTAGATCTACCACAAATACGTATAGGATTCATTGCACAGATAAGTGAAGTAGTATGTTTTTTGTTCAAGCACTTTAAGTGACGTAGGCATAGGTAACACTGTTGCATCTACCAACATTTTGAAAACACGTTTTCCGGAATTATGACCGAGTTTGGCTCTCCATTAGTTTACGCTCAGCGGTTGATGAGAAATCCACTGTCCCCTTCTCCAAAGAAACTTGCAGCCAACTGAACCATTCCGAAGGTGCTGAGGCACTGGTATCATGGGGTTTTGAATATGGAAAGACATAGAATGTGTACGAGTGATGCCATATTATGTTATGCTTTACTGCTACACTATCAATTAATGGCGATGTGCAATACACACGTGGTCGTCGGTTCCACCTAGTGCCTTGGACTCTCCAAACCTTCCATCGATCTTAATTTGGCAAACTGGGATCGGAGGTGTCTGGAAAAATAGCGCTACCGCGAGTTATTTTATACGTTAGATATGCGTTCAATCACCTCTATTGCTGATCATCTTCATTGAAGTCGAATACATGCCGCGTTCTTCAGAGATTGATAAACGCCGAGAGCTTTATCCTTTTTCAATAGCTCTGTGCTGAATTTATTGTTGATTTCAGATGGTCCACAGGAGAAGCGAAATCTTCTGCCGTCGTCAGGGCAGTGCATGGCCGACGAGCGAGCCTGCGCCAACAACGAGTGCGTGAAGGCGGACTACATCTGCGACGGCGAGCCGGACTGCCGCGATCGCTCGGACGAGTTGAACTGTCCCACAATGAGGCAGTGCGAACCGAACGAGTTCAAGTCAGTTGTGAAACATGTGCGAGATCATGCGCACATGCATTTGCTCCTCAGAAACCGTAACATTTTTCACTTTCTCAAGTCTCAAAAATCATGAATGCAGGGATAACAATCATCAGTGTGCTCACTTTCCTTGGAGCTCGAAATTGATTTCAGCAGCAGAAAACGAAAAACGTTGAGCGGCAATACTGATGGGAAAGATTGCGGCTTTTCTTATAATTAAGAGACTTTTAAAGATTTAAGGAATCTTCCCGAATGATTGCAATCCACCATGTCTGCTTGAAAATTTATAATTTACAAATCGCCGCCCTTATGGATTAGAAGGAGATTTTCCACCATGCGACTAGTTTGATACTAGGACGGTGGTGAGCCATGATACTGATTCATTCCTGGCTGGGTTTCCTGGTGGAAATATCGGACTCCTTCTCAGCTTGGGATACCCTGCCAGAGATGAATCCCTCGCTGTACAACGCAGCCCGAAACCCAGGAACACCTCCCACCACGATGAGGAGGTAAGCCGTTGGGAGTGTATATTATTTATTTTTATCTATAATCTATTTTTCGATCATTAAATTTATTTGTATAAGTGCCGTTGTCACGTCTACTGTTTGAATCCCAGCATTTCTTGCATTCGACTCGTTTGCTCGCATCCATTATCCAGGAAGATATTCCAACTCTTTGGCGTGGCTTCGACTGCTCGTTGAGGATTTTCCCTTCACAACGAATGTCGTAGAACGCTGATCGAGTCTATTCTCCTTGAATTTCTGAGATATCTGATCTAGAACTTTCCCAACTGGTTTGCAAAGAGTAGTTTTTTTCCGGACAAGTTCCGTAACAATTTGTCGACTCTGGAAGGGTGAAAGTATTGGTGAGCCTGGCTAGGGATCGAGCCAACACTGCTGTCGTGATGATGGGCATCACTTCCATTGTGATATACACAACCAATATATAAAATAAAATATTGAAAAAAAGTACTTCCATTTTTGCCACTAACGATTTATTTATAACCTTGATACCGCTTTACGAGATACAATGTGTTATTTTTGCACAATACATTAGTGTAACATTATTTTTAATATTATTATGCTCTTGTCCTTTTCTTACTGTTTTCTAGCACCATTTTTTATTCGTTATTATTAATATTATAATGTTTCCACTAAGTGGAGTAGAACAATGTTATTTTAATGTACAACTTTCATCTACTGGTCTATTTTTCGAGAAAGACAGAGGAAAGGTCCCAATGGTGCCATGCCCAACACGTGAGCACGTGGAAAGGGTATTCACGGGTTCGAATCTAGCCTAGGGTTCAACTTTTGCAAATATCTCATCATCATTGCGGTTGTATTCAACGTAATATTATTTTGTTGCTAGCGTTGGAAGGAGCTCGTTGGCTTTCTACACTGCTTTCTATTCCAGTCCAAAACGGACGAAACGCTCATTTGACAAAAACCATGTCGTTCAATTGTTCCACGAGTAGAAATACATATTTTTGGGACAAGAAACGCGATCACAGCATTTTCGATCAAATCTCACCTTTTGTGGCTCCGACTGAGCCATTTGTTTTAGTGTGGTACTCTATTGATTCGGCTCTGTTCTATTGCTCAAAAATGTTGCTCTGAGTCTTCGCAGACAAGGAGGAACCATTTTTCGTAGAAAAACGTTGATCTCCAAGCTTATAAGAACGTAAAAAATAACTTTCTTCCTCTATTTCTGGCCAACATTTCGATTTCTAACAGATCCGAAGTCAATGGACATCGTGTTGATATTTCTCAGTTGACTAGTGCAGTATTTTTTTGATTGCATTGAAACATTCCACCTGTGAAATGCCTGAAATACCAAAGATCAGTGTAAAGGCAGAAAACTAGTACTCGGACGCTCCGTTTCAGGTGTCAGAATCAGCGATGCGTGCAGAAGATGTGGCTATGCGACGGTGACGACGACTGTGGTGACAACTCTGACGAGCGCGACTGTGGTAAGCCTCCTCTATTCGTCAGTACGAACTTCTCGTACCGGAGTTCGAACTCCGAAACTACCTCAGTATAAAATACACATAAGCAATAAGCATTTGTCTACCAAGAATAGTTGAAAACATCGAATTTGAGACAAGTCTCTCTCAAGATGAAGCCGATTTTTCGATATACTTGTGTTTTATTGATGACTTTTTACGTGTAACGATATTGCTGGGCATAACATGTGGTGGAAACCTGATGTTCTGTGCGACAAGGATAATTTAGGGCGAGAGAAAACGCGACATCTCGTGAATGATTAGCCACACCAAATCGAACAATAAAATAGGGAAGCGAATAAAAGTGCACTTACTTTTTGTTTCAGGAGTTCATTCGCCCGGTGAAATGTGCAAGAAAACGGAATTCCAGTGTCACGATCAGCGACAGTGCGTGCCGTCTTCGTTTCACTGCGACGGCACAAACGACTGTAGAGATGGAAGCGATGAGGTTCGGTCTCGCCCTTCATGGATATCGAATACAGATTATTGAATACGTTCATAGTTGTGGGGTAACTGGATGACACGTGCGCATATGACTCAGCGGTCGAGGTGCCCTGCAATACACTTGGGTTCGATCCCGCGTCTCAGGCTCTCAAAGCCTTCCATCCCTCTGGGCTCGGAAAATTTTTACCAGACCTGTCTGGGTGGACAGCAGCACTGGGTCGATGCACTGGCAGGTCATTGCGAGTCATTGTATGGGGCATGGGCCAGATATCAATCACATTCAATGATACCAGGTGAAGTCGAATGCATGGCGCATACTTCAGAGATTGATCAACGCTGAGAGCTCTATCCTTTATACTTTATGCTGTAATTGGATGACAATAACGTTTATGTACGTGGTCTTCAATGGATATTTGAGACCACCGTCGTGTCATTTATTCCGTAAGTTTGAGCATGGCTAAACGTTCGCATAAACTAACTATTTCGGTTGTTTGTTGCAGTCAAAAAAACCCTAGAGTTTCAATTCTTCAGATACGTTGTATTAGTACTGTTTAAGCTTTCATTTACAAAATCAATGGCTTTAAATAAAAATTGGCTTTACTTAGGGTAGTGCAAAAGAGAGAAGTTCTTAAAAAAAAAGATAAGTGAGGAAAAATGAAGAACATCAATAGAGTAGATAAAGATATGGTGTGTATGATGAAGAACATTTTTTACAATTTTTATTTTTTGAACTTGTCTGATTCCCACTTACAGGTAGGTTGCGTCCAACCAACAGTCGTTGAGCCACCGGAGACAAACAAGCAAGTCGCGCAAGGATCCACATTCCAACTCACATGCAAGGTAGAAACCGCTGAAAGTTTTCAAACGCCTATGTCGTAGATGTTTTTTCGTCCGGATATTTTTGTTATTGGCTGAATGTCCTTTTCTAGAAGTCATTTGCACAGCTGTTTGAATTGCTGGAGGATGATTCAACTTTTATAGGCCGTGGCTGTTCCGGAGGCGTACATCAACTGGCGTTTGAACTGGGGTCCTGTATGTGAACCCCCACGCTGCATACAGACGTCCGAAGGTGGATATGGAACTCTTACCGTACATAACGCCCAGTGTGTTTCTTTGCTTCATGCTATTTTCGAGTAGTTCTTTGAATTAAGCACAGGATTTTTTTTGTCGTTTTATTTACCAACTCAGAGAAAAGCCTTGAGAACGAATGTTTGCTAGGTTTAGAGAACTCCTGAAACTTTTCATCTGCGTTATTTTTCATTGGAAAGGCTACATTGGCAATTTTGAATTCGAATTCGTCCACCAAAATTATTCATGACCAACAATCAGAGGGACAATACATCTGGTCGTTCGCTGTTAGAAATAGCCCACACGAATCTTGTCATCTACGATGGTACTCATTGCAAGCGATGTAAGCACCTATTTTCCATGAAACGTCTCCTTATTGTTGTCGAGCGTACAAGACCACTCGAAAGTATCGGATAAGGAAATGTGGTAGGAGAGACGTGGCGATAGTTTTCAGGACGCTTACGCCATCACTGAAGTAGTGTGGAATTATTTTAATTATTTCACGTATAACCAAGAAATTCATCTTATATTGGCTAGCTCATAGAAATCGGTTCCTGTTTTCTTTTACCCTTTTCGTGTTAAACAGGGAGTTTTCTTTACTCTCACAATTTTGTATTCTTCTGAAGAGAACTAGCGCCCAGTCGACAATATCATTTCGACGACCAGCAAGTGGCATAAGGGCCGAAGTAGTAGCTGAATATACGGAATTCAACTTAGGAAGTGCGACAAATCGCGAAGTATCGAACCGCCAGCGCATAATCATCCATTGCAAGAACTGTTGATAACGAATATGAGAGATGACGATGAAAGCTCCGCCATTCCAGCAACTTGATCTTGTATTATATCCGTCGCGCCGACGTGATCGCACTAAATGATTGTCGTAATAATAACTGCTAGATAAAGGGAGAGGTGGAGACAACAAGGCGGATGAATGGAGACAGAGGAAGGAAGGCGAAGAGGTCCACATTACTCTGCCTAAGCCTGAAAAAGATTCATGTGAGCAATTTGTTCTAACGATTAGAAAACAACTGAAATCCGGTCTCACACGAATTTTTTTGGCCCAACCTTCGATCACTTCTTCTAAGTACGATTTGCATAAAAAAGTGATAACATACTTGTATGTTTGTTTTGAAAGGTTTTACTCGTATTAATTTATGTGCTCAAAGATGATTTTTTTTTCTTCCCTTTTTTCGCAATGTTCAAACGATTTTGCGGAGAGACTCATATAGTCAACCACAGATAAAGCTCTGAGAGAAAAAGCTCTTGGCGTTGATCAATCCCTGAAGGATGCACCATGCATTCGACTTCATTAAGCATCGTTTAGCAGTAACTGAATGCATATCTGGCCCTTACAACTACTCGGTGCCCTACCGATGTATCGAGCCAGTGTTGCTATCCTACCTGACAAGTCTGGTACCAATTTACCGACCCCGGAGGGATGGAAGGCTTGGTGGGCCATGTGCACGGAGATAGATCCCACGCATACACCTGCGGTCCGGAGTTTTGCAAATATCTCAGCATTATATACGAGTTATATTTCGCAACATACCCTGCTATTAAAAAGAAAAAGGCAGTAAATAAAAGGGTTAAGACTCCTTCATTTAGTTTGAAGACAGGAAAACGTGGCTATTGAAGAGCTCCGAGCAGTGAACGTGACTGATTTTCTGTATTGCCTTTGTGCAAGCTGTCATCGATTTGGTCTGGCAGTCATGCTGCAATCATCTTGCTTCTGTAATTGAAGAATAGACTTTGCGAATGCTCTTCCCGGTCTCTGCAGCGTTGGCCATAGCTGATGCTTTTGTCCTCTTAAGATTTCCTTTTATCCTCTGTTTGCATTGTTTTGAATGTTTAAAACTGAGTGCCTGTAGCTCGTTCGATTCCACCTTGTGCTACCAACTTGAGTGATTCTAGAAGCAGACGTCTTTTCGAGACTTTCGAGTTCTCTACTTTTACAGCGCCAACCTAGTGGTGTCGAATAAGCCGATCGTATTCCTTGTCAGTGTTATCGATAACGGCATCTTCTCAAATGCCGCCTGTTGCTCCGGATAAATCGCAGTTCATGGGCATTTTAGGACGTCATTTCTTGAATTTGATGTTTTTTCTTCTTTCCATGATAAAAGAGATTTTTCATGAAGGTGGCGATGGTCTGGTCCCGTGTAGAATTTCTAGACAGCAGTGACATCGGTAACCCGAAGCATTCGAATTACTATGACGTGGTCTGTTTCGTTATGGTATTCTCCACTGGGATACTCTCACGTCCAGCGCTGAGAGTGAGGCCTTTGGAATTGCAAATTAGCAGGAATGATCTTGGTCGTCTTGTTAAACTCAGGCAGCCTCCTACCTTGCTTGTTTATTCTAGTCCGTTGTTCCCAGTGTGACGTTTTTCGGGCGATACAATCTTGGCATTGAAAAAATCTTTAATGATTTTCTTAAAGCCTCTATGGTGTTCTCTACAGAAGTTCTCCAAGCTAATTTACAACGCTTCAACTTCGTTTTCGCCAGAACTTTATGTTGGTGCGTCGACAATGAACAATCTCAAATCCGGTATTAATCCAAACCTCTTCAATAGTAAACGTCCGATTGGGGTTGCAGTGATTTTGGAATGGTGAACATTGCAATAAAACTTCTCTGTTGCCGAATTCATATCATTTTCGGCTGGTAGTGTTAAGGACATCGCTGTTCATCGTGAATCACTGCTGACCATTGTATTCACTCAAGCTCCGGCTGCATTTCTTCATACTGTTCCTTTCCTGTGGACCCCTTCCAACAGTATCTTCTATATTGCCGTAAGCCATCCTTCAAAAATTTTCTGCAGCTGGTAATCACTTCTAGTCACTTTACGTGCTCCGATGAAGATCAGGCTTCATTTTTCTTCATTTCTCGACCGTGTTGCTAGATGCTATTAGAGTTCGATACGGACGAGCTCCTTCTGATCCATTTTTTATTTCCATTTGAAGAACTGAGACGGAAACTCTCACGACCGACTTTCTATTAACCTCGGCATTGATCAAGTAATTCTTCGTATTTTTGTTGAGCAAACGCGAGGTGTTACTGTTCTTTATTCACAAATAAGCTGATGTTTCGGCGGGTTTCGCCTTCCTCAGAGTCTGGAAAAGTCAAGTTGATAGCAATCTACTCGGCCAGACGCCTCCATAACCAAACAAAGAAACTCCAAACCAAGATTTCAATCACTTTGAACACAGCTTTGCACACTCACCGCTTCCTATGAGGTTTCCACTAAGTATGTCACATAGAGACCAACCGCACAGAAATCACATGGAAGCATAATGTGCCCCTCCCATCAGAGTAGCAGTCTTATATACTGCCCTACATCACGCGTGATAATGAGGCATTCTTCCCTGCGGTTCATTTTTGGATTTCTGGAGTTAATCCAAAATGCCTCGAGAGTTTTGGGCGCCTCTGTTCTTGATTCACGTGCTACGATCGTGACACATACATCAAAGTCCTCCCCATTATGTCTCTGGGTCCTATGCGTGAAAGGTAAACGTTTGAACGTCGCGGCGAGATGGTCTTCTTTGAGGGTTTGGATGTCTAAAACTAAACATGAATCTTAAACTGCCCAATTGAATTGCCTGTATCCCACTTTTTCGATTTCATTATTGCACCGGCCAAATATTCTCCAGTTTTTCACTTTCAGACCAATCGATCAAGGTGCTTATACTTGTGAAGCGATCAACGTGAAAGGGCGAGTGCTAGCGACTCCTGACTGTATTGTGAGAATTGTAAATATTCCGGCTGAAACGACCCCTCCCACTCCTATAGCACAGAGAAGGTGTGATCCTCGCGGATCAGTGCAACCGTACGCTGATCCCTCCGGCATTTGTTCTTGCAAGGTGAGAATTTCTGACAAAGACCTGTTTCTTCTGCTTTCTAACGCTCAACAATAATCCAGTTTTTGAAGTAGGGTGAGAAATATTTATACAGTATTGGGTCTTCTATGTTTAATTTTTCAGCCGCTTGTGAGTGGCCCGACGTGTTCCGAATGTTATCATGGATCGTTCCATTTGAACGAGAAATCACCTCAGGGTTGTCTAAAATGCTTCTGTTTTGGAATTACTGATAACTGCCGCTCGAGCAACATGTACCGAACCCAGGCAAGTAAAATTTTTCTTGTTGATTTTGTTCATTAAAACCGATGCGTCCTTTGTAATGATTTCTTTAGATGGAAGTCAAATATGCTAATGAACTACGTTAGCGCTGCTTAGACTCTTTTCCCATTCATGGTTGCTGCTACGAGATTTGTGCACGACATTCTCAGTAGCACTAGTTTTCGATACAGTGCTTAACCTGTTGTATCCGTTCTTTCTAAAAAGATTGCATGAGAGGAATAGTTAGTTTCGTGTATCATTTCTACACAAGCGCGAAATTTTGAATTTCTTCTCTTTTATTTGAGCGCATTTTCTTTGATTGCCTGATAATCTCCTCCAAAATAGAAGAAAAATAATGATGGCTGGTTTTCGATACAATGGACATTTCACTAGGTGTAATAATGTGTCGCTTACAGCAGTAGGATTAACATTAGGTGCTGAAGGGACAACTTTAAGATGAGCGAAATTTTTCTTTCTCATGCCAGTTCACAAGTCACCAATTTTGAAAGGTGCTCGTATTTTCTTCGGTGATCGCTGTGCTAAAGAATAGTTCTTTCCAACCTATTAGTACCTTCTAACACAAGTAGAGACCTAACATTAGTCTAGAAATGAGGTCAATGATTTTTGTTCTTGTTTTCGTCTTCAGGAACGTTGGTGTGTTTCAGGATGCTGCTTGTGTAAGTGTCGTCTTGTCTCGTCAGCTGTTTACGCGTAACGATAGTATTAGCTCTTAATCCAACTCTCTTTTTCCTGCATCGCGAGCTCTTTTAACGGCTTTTCTACTTTTCCTTAACATAACGTTATCCAATACCCTTCACCTTGGTTTCCTTCACCTCACTTGTACCTTTAATGCGACAATACTACTCCATGTCACCTTTAGAAATTCTCTTTACGTAGTCGTAAGAAAACTTTTATTTAAGGATCGTCTGATGTTTGCTGGAAGTTCAGAAGGCGTTATGTTGTCGGATATTGAGGAAAGGGACATCGAACGAGAAGTGAGATTCGAGTTCACCAGGCCTGGATACATTACCTACTCAGGTCAACCTATTGGTACAAAGTACTGGAGGCTTCCTCAAAGATTCCTCGGAGACAAAGTTTGTTATGTTGACTTAGAAAAAATGTGTTTCTAATTTTTTTAACCGTTAGAATTTTTTACTATTTATTCTGCTTTAAAAAATCTTAGATACTTGCCTGCTTGGATGGCCCATCCTCACTGGTTGTGCGGGCCCCATCATGATTTCCACTTTTTCGGAGTTGTACTGGCTTAGCCATTGTGGTTCCTTGGAGTCCTGAGGTCAGTCAGGCCAAAGTCTGCCCCAGGTCGTCACCACCACAGGCAGTCGCCGCCCATGTGGATCAGAGGGAGATTTGCCACCATGCGAATAGTTTGATACCAGAACGGTGGTGGATTCTAGTATTGCTTTACTCTTAGCTGGACTTCCTGATGAAAGCACCAGACTCCTCATCTTGGGAGACCCTTCTAGGAGAAGGACCCTTTCTCCAAGCTGTACATCGCGGTCCAACCCACAGAAACACCTCCCAGCCACGATGACGCGGTAAACCGTTGGGAGATTCGAAAAAGTCTATATATAAAAATTCAATAAAATGTATAAGATAAAATATAAATATATAAAGTAAAAAAATTGCACGTACAAACTCTTTAGATGATCTAGTTCCAAGTCGTTTGTAAGTAAGTTGTCAAGCCTGAAAGCCTACACAAAAAAGGCTGGAAATTTATTAAGATCATTCTCAAGCGCTTTTTTATTGTTCACCGTAAATTTCGGATACACTTTCCTTTTAGTAAAAAATTTTCAGGTGACCTCATACGGTGGAAAGCTGGAATTTGAAGTTGAATATAATGGAGGCGGACCATTAAGCCGCCAACCCATGGTGGTACTGAAGGTTAAGAAGATTACTCGTTTATACTTTGCTCCGCCGAACAGTACAAAAAATGAGGACGACACACATAAAAAAATGGACAATATAGAAATACAACAATTTGTTGTTTAGGGCAACCAGATTGTTCTCGCCCATCACGTTCAGAATCAGGAGCAGATTTTAAGGCCAGGCCAACCTATCAAAATCAGCCTCGAAACATATGAAGTAAGCTGTATTCCACAGACATTTTATTTATAGTCTCTGAAAATCTGAAAAATCGACAGCAGAAAACGGAGATCGGGCAGGGTATTTCAAAGTGGTGTCTGCAGTTTACCAAAAGCGATCACAGTCATCATCAGTGCCTCCTTTTCCCAAAGGACAAGGAATCCGTGATTTACCTGATCTTCTTCAAAATCCTTCGTATCATTGCAACTATTTTCTAGATTACGCCATTGATACAAATGCAAATCTTACGAGCATCTTTTAAAACTTTTTACTGTCGATGAACTTAAAAATATCTCAGACGAGCTTCCAACAAATGAACGGCGCACCGGCATCTCGTGAGGACCTAATGATGGTCCTCGCTGATCTCGACGCTTTGCTCATTCGGGCCACCCATGTTGACCAGCAATATTCGACCAGGTAGTTCAAATTCTTCAACGTGACTAGTAAAAAATCCTGCAAAGTTGACTTTATAACCACTTACATCAGCGGAGCAATTCATTGATTTCCAATTTCTTAAGTAAAGCTCTTGTGTGTGTTATAACTAAGCCTCACCTTAACTGGGCTCAATGCCGATTTGGGCTCCCCAGATCAAACCCGTTGACGGGTGATCGCTGATGGCAAAAAGATCGATAGAACTAGCTGAGAGACATGCAAGACGAAGGACCCGGATGGTGTGATGGTGAAGTGCGCTGCTCCCCGGTAAGGACAACAGCGCGTGTTCGTTCCCCACTGCATACACCTGCGGTACGGAGTTTTGCAAATATCTCAGCATTTCATAAAGCTCTTGTATTCTGCAAACAGTTTTCTCTCAGATAAAGTCGATACGTCGTTTTTCTAAGCTGCATAGAAATATGTGCATGTATCAATTGACAAGAAAGTAATCAGTGTTAATATCTATTAAGGCACATCCGTTTAAACGTGAAGAAGGGATGAATCCGGCTGAAGTGGCCACGATGAATATAGCTGCATAGTCTATTTATTTAATTAAAAGAAGCTATTGTAACTATTTTGAAGTAACTGAAGAATATGCCCCTATAAAATCAGGATTGGTCGGTTTTCATAGGAAACACATCGAGGAAACCATGGATGCTTTGTGAACAAAGGTGAACTGAAGGAAAAGGGAAAGAGATCAGGAGCTAATGTGTACAGTTTCTATTTGGAAATGGACCCTAACTAAAGTGTCCTCCAAACCAGGCAATACCGCACATGTAACCGTATTTAGTGTTTACTATTTCAGAAGCCGTCATTTTTTATAAACTTTTAAAGTTTCGTAAACAAGTATTTCTTAGTAATATGTGGCCTGCTTAATACTGCCTATGAAATCAGAAAGTAGAAAACTGCGAGCGCTAGATTCCGCGACTGGAAAGGCGACATGTGATGAGATTCAGTTGAAAGAAAATTCGCATAAGAATCAATCTCGTATTGTGCTTGTACTGTACTCGATCAGTTGCTGAAGAAGTGAGAGTGTGAAGCGCTTCCAGATTATCACACACAGCTCACTTTCGTGCGTGTCCTCCAGTTCTAGATTCACTGAGTACTGCTCTATGAGACCCTCAGCCAACCCGAGCCATGCACAGCTAATCGTTCGCGTTTAATAATCTTTTGCCGGGCGGTCGGGAATATATTACTTTAAAAGAATCTGGTGAAGGATAAAGAAAAGGATAGAGTTCTCGGCTTTGATCAATGCAAGAGAGATGCGCCATGCATCCCACTTCATCAAGCATTGTAGAATTGACTAAAAAAGTTCTTGGTCTACACAATGATATATAGCGGCATACGAATATATAAACCTTGTGCAAAAATTCCTCCACACAGATCTTTTACCAAATCGCCAGCCCCGGAAATATAAAACGCTTGGTGAGCTCGAGGTCTGGGATCGAACCACTGCGACTGCGTGCATATTGCAAGGAGCTCTAGCCAGTGCCCGTACGCGCGCTTAGTGGAGGTGATGGATAAATTATTCCGAAAGACTCGAATGGTTCAAGAATTAATCTATAGTGTCGAAAAAGTAATCTATTTAAAAATCATCAAAAAAAAATCAAAATCAAATCATCTTTTCTCTAGATGTTTACAAATGAAACTTTCAAAGTCCTTAATCACTATCACGCTAGAAGATACTGCTCCAACCTCACTGAAATACAAAAACGTGGTATGCGAGGTACGAGAGCTGATAAGATCAAAAAACATAAGACTATCGGTTAATGATAAGGGTTGAGAGTTCGTTGTAATTCCCCATCAGTTAGATGTTGAGATAACGGAAAAGCACCTTAAAGATGCTTCCCTTTATCGCCCGTCGTCTGAGAAGGAATTTGAAAGTCAATACCGAAAGTTAAACAACAAATGGATTAAAGTGGCAAGAGCGGCTGGGTTAAAACTATCAGTTATCTCTCATCTCAAAATTGACTTAACATGTCTCGTCCTGTACTTATCAAAACCCATAAATTAGTATCCAGCAATGATCTCGTGTCTACCGATCCGTCGTTATTTAAGGTTAGACCTATTAGCTGCGTGGACGGGCCAACGGATAGAATAACGTGGTTAATAACCCTAATACTTACACAGCTGTTGAAGTACATTCCAGCCCATCTAACGAACACCCAAATGTTTCTGGATCGTCTACGTAACGCGCGACCCAACAGCGCGTACGTGGTGGAGTCCTTCGACGTCACTGCCCTCTATACGAACGTGTCGAATGACTCCGCTATGCAAGCCATAAACGAGCTCCTTATACAACACGAAGAAGCAATAAACATGTACGGCTTCTTGATTCATCAGATGATGACACTCTTAAAGGAGTGCCTAAACTGCTCATTCTTCAGATGGTGCGGGAGGTATTACACACAAATGAAAGGGCTGGCAATGGGACAACGACTGGCACCAAGCCTTGCCATTGCATTCATGTATAAAGTGGAAGCGCCAGTAATCGACCTCGGTCCGTTACTCTACTGCAGATATATAGATGACTGCTTGGTCATTTGTTCAACGCAAGAAGAAATCGACAGATGTTTCGAGTTGTTGAACACACAGTCAGAATATATTAAATTCACCCGAGAGAAACCAAAAGAAGACTGGCTTCCATTTCTGAACGTGCAAATTAGTCTATCAGAAAACGGCCACATTACGAAGTGGTATCGAAAGCCAAGTAGTAAGAACATCCTAGTTCATTACCTCTCCGCTCATCCCTCTCACACGAAAAGGGCGCTTGTGAGAAACATGTATCGAACAGCTACTAGCGTGTGTACAGGTAGACAGCAAAGAGAGGAGTCCCTGAACTTGGCGCGACAAATAGCTATTTCAATGGCAACGAAACTGTAGCTCGAGATAGGTGTAGAGAAAACCATAGGTACCCCAACGATAACTCTAGCGACAACAAGGTCCTGTTTATACTGCCCTTCATTTCAAATAAAGTAAGTGCAGCTATAAATTGCTGTTTAAGAAGGGCCAGTTTAGAGAATTTGGTAACGATAATCGAAATACCACCGAATAATCTAAGGCGCCAGCTAGTTCGTAACCGCCTATACGACCGTCTATGTGCAACGCAAAATTGCATAATTTGCCTCAATGGTAGAGACGGTGACTGCATGAGTTCGGGTACAGTCTATCTGATCTCTTGTAAAGCGTGCGGAGACGAATACGTTGGCGAAACGGGTAGACCAGTCTGCGTACGTATAAAAGAACACCTAGTCGGCAAACGTAAGCCAAGTACTCCACTAGGTACGCATAGCACGCAGAAACATAACGGAGAAGATTTTGAAGTAAGGGTTACGATCCTTGCGCAAGAATCGAGAACACAAGCGCGCAAAACTCTAGAGGCATTCTAGATTAATTCCGAGAATCCGAAAATGAACCGCTGGGAAGAATGCCTCGATATCACGCGTGATATTGGACAGTATATAAACCTGTTATTCTGATGGGAGGAGCACATTACGCTTCCATGTGAATTCTGTGCGGTCGGTCTTCACGCGACATACCCAGCGGAAGACTCATAGAAAGCGGCGAGTGTGCAGAGCTATACTAAATGTGATTGAAATCTTGGTTTAGCCTTTGCTCTGTTTGGTTATAGAGGCGTTTGGCCGAGTGGATTGCTGTCAACTTGACCCTTTCAGGCTCTGAGGAAGGCGAAATCCGCCGAAACGTCAGCTTGTGCGTAAATAAAGAAATAAAATAGCACCTCGTATTTGCTGAACAGAAGTAGAAAGATATATTCAATCAATGCCGAGGTTAATAGAAAGTCGGACTTGGGAGTAATCTATTTGTTAGATGGTTACGAAATCTCGTTGATATAAGGAGTTTCATAAAAATTGGAAGCTGTAAATGTGAAAGGGCATTTGTTTTTCAAAAGCATTAGAAAAATCCAGAGAAGGAAGCGCTTCATACACTTAGATGAGGCAGACCTCTAGAAAAATCGTTGAATTTTTTAATTTCCTTGTCTTCATCAATAAGTCCCTAGTTACCTCAGTTTATGCTGAGTGTTCTGCTCATCTTGTTGTCGTCAATCTGCCAATCTGCACTCTTCTTTTCATGCCTTTAATCAGCCCGTCAATCAACTGCTCAAGTCACAGCGCTTCCTACTGTATTACTTCGTAATCAGTGAAATCTGAAGAAAAAGGGTTTTTCATGAATGCTGACCATTCAATTGATATTCATCACCAATAATTCAGGAACATTGAAATTTGAAAATGTTTTGAATTCGAACATCGCGCTACTAATCAGTTCCAAAATTTTTTCAGTATTTTTTCCAATTATTTGAAATATCGACTAGAACAGCTATCAGAGCTGTGACCCGATCGGCCTAATTCACGGTCTATTGGCCCAACAGATGGTAGCGGCTTGCGACCTCTCGCTGTTCAGCACCGTCAGTGGTGTCGGTCGTCGTTCTAGTGACCTTCCGCCGTAGCAGTGGAAAGACATTCAGTTCGTGCGCACTCATCACCTACAAGTGTTTTCCAGTAGAATGTCGTCGTGTGGCCTGATTATGAGGAAATGTCGGGCGAAAGTCTGCATGGGCAGGTCACATCCACTTCTAATCTTTTTGGACCTTTCAAAATCATGGAGTGATCGATGGAAGGCGACAGTGAAATTTGGGAAATTTGCTGTGAAAAAACCGTAAAAAAATCTATGCGACTGCAGTGAACACTCTCAACTATTCCAACAATAACTTTAAAATTATGAGCGAGTCCGTGATTTTTGTTATCCTTTTCGAGATATATTTTTCGAATTCGTTCTTAACTTTAGAACTTTTTATCTTTAGGGTTTAATTTATTCGAATTTGTTGCCTACTCGAATTAATTTCCAGTATAACCCTTTGAAATTTCAGCTTTTCTTTGCGAAAAGTTCGCCAATAGAAGGGCAAGGGAAAGTTGCATCTTTTATTATCCATAAAATGACGCTTCTAACCATTGTAGGTTAAACCACTGTCTGAGGAAAAGTTGCTCAGAGAATGCAAAGCGTGTGTATCTCAACTAACACTTTCAAGAGTTGTGTTTCCTATTCAAATATCCTCAACTTCCTACATGGGAACTTTGAACCAAATATTGTGACTGGACATCCACTTGAAAAAACCATACTACGTCTTGATAGTCTTCTCACAGTAAGTACATAACACTTAAAGCTTTGAGTGTAAGGATCTTCGTCTTCGTTATGAGTGTCGTTGAATACTGGTCGAGTCGATTATTTCTAGAATGTTTGGATAGCAGTGCTAAAGCGTACCCACATGGTTTGGATGGAGTGAGTTGATCTTAGACAAATCTGTTACAAATTTTCCGATTCCAGAAGGATGGTAGGTTTGGTGGGCAAATGGTGAGCTGAACTAGTGCCGCACCAAGAATAGCTAACTTCATGCACCTTCAATTTCAAATATAATTGAACAAATTAAGATAAATGGGAACTTTGTACTAAAACTATTATTTAAAAAGAACGGTCTACATATACATGCTTTGATTGTAATACTACCAATTGAAAGATCGACTTTCGATTAACGTCGGCATTAATCAGCAAGTTACTGTGATATTGCGATTTCTTCTCGATGATCTGATGCGGGGTTCTAAACACATTTTTATCGTTTTTTTGTGAACCGGTGGCTCGGTGAATTGCTTCTTCGAGGATTTGGTAGGGACGTAGTATTACCACATATCCTCACTCGATGTACAGTTCTATAACGTCAGTAAAATTACGAAAGCCAGACTTCAAGCGTGACAAAAAACATTCACTGTTTTCTGCTTACCATGTGTTAGGCAATGATAGCGTTGGTATACTCTCCACATGAGATATTAAATGGACAACACTATGAAAGCCTTACACGCTGAGATTTTTGATTGGTGACGGATTTGTAACTTTAGTTTGAAAGCCATTATGGCTTCTTCTATTCTACATGTACGCATATAGTGAAACACTTCTTTCGACTCTGAGTTCTTTTTGTACCCTTTAGAGGTGTTGGTAACAAAGTGATGGAGATACCGAGGTGCTAAAGATGTTACTATCGTGATGAAGTGGATAATAAAATTATTTGATTGGGACGAAAATGGCATAAAGTGGATATTAAAATCATTTGATTAGGACGACGATGGCATACATATTGAGGAAACGTTCCTTTTCGAGGAGAAAAGCGGATATGATAAGCAGTGAACTCAATGAAGCACGAAGGATGGACTATGGATAAATCGGAAGAGAACTCCAGTTGGTAGGAAAACCTATAAAGAGGTGAAAATATCACACCTGATGGTTCTCTGATTACAGAGGCCCCAGCCTAAGTGTGCTTTGGACGATCGAGAGGAAGGGATGTAGTGTGAACTTCATTCTGGCACCTTAAAAAAGCCACCACTAACTTAACAGGCCTAAAATTCTGTGTTTACTTTTTTGGTTCAAAAGTCTTCATACTATTAAGAAAACCGTGCTGCATATACAGCGTCGACCACTCTCAAAATGTGCGACATGTTTGTGAAAAATTCCCTCAACTGCTTCAACTTTCGTTTCTGCCCATTTCTTTTTCAGTGCAGTTTATGATATGAAGTACAACCGCAATGATGCTGAGATATGAGCAGAACTTGTAACATCAAACTAACTTCGAACCCGTAATTACCCCTTCCGGAGCTCACATGTTATCCATTTCACGTACCGAAGCTCTTGATTTGCCTTTCTCTCAGCTAGGTTTAACACTGTACAAACTTAGAAAAAAAGAAGTGAAAAAAAACAAAAGTGAGATAAAATTTCAAACTTTGTAAGGCAAAAGTTAGAAAATTGTGATTTGGACTACAACACCAGCTTAACTGTATTGTGGTCACCAGATCGTTTTCATTGACAGGTGATTGCTGATGGCAGCGTTAGGAAAAAAATTAGCTGCAGGAAAGGCAAAGCGAGGTCTTTGGTTAGTGCTGTGGACAGCACGTGAGCACCACAAGGGTTAATCGCGGGTTCGAAGACCATCTGAGATTCTGAGCTTTGCTTATATCTCAGCACATTTGTGGTTTTCTCATCAGCTGTATTCGCAGCTACAAGTGTTCTATAGATGATGGGATGGTATCGCTCACGTTTCCATATTCGAACAGACCACGACCATTGATGACGACGGCGTGGAGAAGAGACAAGGGGAAAATATGCAGAGACTCGCAGTACTCGCAATTCCGCGTCATCCACGTGTCCAGTTAGTAGTTATAGGTCCCTCTAGAGATTGCGAAGAATTAGAAACTACCCAGATGTATATCTACTGAAAATAAAAGACGTTTGAACAACTCCATATAAGCTTATCGAAGATATTTTCTATGAACACAACAACTTTTTGTTTATTTGTGCCATGTTTTACGATAATTTTACATCATTCAATGATGAAATACGGATGATCCATGAAGAAAATGTCTTTCCAGGATCGACTTTCTCTTAACCTCGGCATTGGAATATAAATGTGTCGTTTTCTTGTTCAGCAATCGCGAGGTTTTTAAACAGCATGCATTTACTTCCATAGAGAAACACAATGCAATACAACGCTAGCTGACGTTTCGGCAGTATCGCCTTCTTCAGAGCCTGGAAGGGTATACTGATATACAATCTACTAGGCCAAACGCTTCAATAACACTTACACAAAGACGAAAGACTCTTTGGTAACTACACGATCAACAACTTCTCGAAAAACCCACCGCTTTTTCGTGACTTCCAATGAGGAAGTTTAGAACAGCTGATTATAGTCGCATGTGGTTGACGACTGCACCATCCCACATCAAAAATCGATGCGAACGTACGGGATCAGGTCGCGTATGACCTCCGGGCATTCGTCCCTGCTATTCATTGTAGGGTTTTTGGCATTGATCCAAAAAGCCTCTAGGAGTTTTCGCGCTGGTGTTTTGGACTCCTGTGCAAGGATATTGACTTTTACTTCAAAATCGTCTCCGCTATGCTTTTGTATCCTATGCGTGCCTAGTGGGGTGCTTCGTCTTAGTTTTCGTTTGCCATCTAGGTGTTCTTTTATACGGATACACAAAGGTCTGCCCGTTTCGCCAATATATTCATCTCCGCAATTGTTACAAGAGATCAGGTATATCGTACCTGAACTCATGCAATCACCGTCCCTGCCGTAAGGGCAAATTACGCAATTTGTTGTTTCACACNCTGATTATAGTCGCATGTGGTTGACGACTGCACCATCCCACATCAAAAATCGATGCGAACGTACGGGATCAGGTCGCGTATGACCTCCGGGCATTCGTCCCTGCTATTCATTGTAGGGTTTTTGGCATTGATCCAAAAAGCCTCTAGGAGTTTTCGCGCTGGTGTTTTGGACTCCTGTGCAAGGATATTGACTTTTACTTCAAAATCGTCTCCGCTATGCTTTTGTATCCTATGCGTGCCTAGTGGGGTGCTTCGTCTTAGTTTTCGTTTGCCATCTAGGTGTTCTTTTATACGGATACACAAAGGTCTGCCCGTTTCGCCAATATATTCATCTCCGCAATTGTTACAAGAGATCAGGTATATCGTACCTGAACTCATGCAATCACCGTCCCTGCCGTAAGGGCAAATTACGCAATTTGTTGTTTCACACAGACGGTCATACAGGCGGTTGCGAGCTAATTGGCGACGTAGAGTAGTCGGTGGTATTTCAACTATCGCTACCGATTCCTCTAGACTTGCCCTTCTTAAGCATCGTTTTATAGCTGCGCTTATTTCATCGCTTATAAAAGGCAACATAAACGGGATTTTGTTTTGGCCAAGTGTTTCGCGTGGGCGCGTCGTTCTCCTTGTAAACTTATCTCGTGGGTTACTATTTCGTAGCCATTGGAGATGGCTATTTGCCGAGCCAAGTCGCGCGATTCTTCCTTTAGTTCCCTGGTAGTGCACACAGAGGTGGCTGTTCGAAACATGTTTCTCACAATCGCCCTCTTTGTGTGTGAAGGTTGGGAAGAAAGGAAATGAACAAGGATGTTCTTGTTACTTGGCTTTCGATACCACTTTGTCAGGTAACCGCTACTTGATAGGTTTATTTGGACGTCCAAAATGTCTTTTTTCCGATTTTATTTCCTTCTAAAGTAAAAACAGATTTCGTTATTATAATTGGAAATGGTTGTTTAAATATCTGAGCATCAACAATGATGATGAGATATTTGCAAAACTCCGGATCGTAGGTGTCGGCGGTGGGGCAAGAACGCGCTATTATTCTTTCCGGGAGTTAACGTGTTTACCATCACACCGTGTGGGTCCTTCCTTTCGTCTGTCTCTCAACTAGTCTATCTGAACATTAATATCGGAATTTTAATAAATTCTTGATTCGCGACTGTTTCCATACATATCCACATTACTGTGTTGGTTAGAATTTATGGAGGACGTTAAAACACAGATAATATGTTTCAACTATTATAGTCTTGGCAATGTCGTCTGGGAGATAGCTGTCGACCGCCCGACATCAGACGGTCTCGCTCTAGAGGTTGGTGTCGAACCTGCTTTAGAATACTTCGTTCTTGAAAGTTTGTTACATTTCCGCCGCAGGTTGAGCAATGTGCATGTCCACCGGGATACGTAGGATCGTCATGTGAAGACTGTGCTCCCGGATATGAAAGATCAGGACATGGTCCATACCTAGGTACTTGTATTCCAGAGAGGGTACGTAGATTCGTTATATTAGAAACACCTTGAATTCATTTGTGTGATATGTGCACTGTTGTACACTGTTTTGTGATTATTAAGCAGTTTTCAAAAGGGTCTTCATGTAAAAAGGGTTTTTCAACATGCGCATAAAAAGTGCTGGAGAGATTTACAGCAATTTCTCTTCGATTTCTCAAGGTTTAAAGTGCAATTTACAGCCAACACATCCTCAGTGTACTGGACCAGGGGTCAGCTCACCTTATCCTGGTCCTGACGATAGATGCGTGTGCAAGACGTACGCCCAGGGTCCGAATTGCGATCAATGCCCCGCGCACTCCTTCTATATGGCTTCGACTAACCCTCAGGGTTGTATTCCCTGCTTCTGTTCTGGAGTAACACAGCAGTGTCAGTCGTCGACTTTGCGAAGGCAGACGGTTCGTCATTAAGTATTCCTTCTGGGAACAAACGTAGCAAGACAGTGTTTCTTCTCAATATTCTTCCTCTCGACGACTTTTGTTTTGAAAAACCTTGCTCGTCTTTCTTCACTTTTTTCACCTTTTTTCTTTCGACTTTTCAGTTACCGATGAGCTTCGCAAATTTGTTCAAGCTAATGAATTATTCAAAAAGTTAGTAGTTCTTTAAGCGTAGGTAGGTTGAAATATTAGCGAATGTTTTTCACAAGAGCAAATTGCAAACTGAGAAAAACATTTCGAAGATAAGTATTCTGTTTAAACACATTAAGGCAAGAAGTAAAATCCTCTAAGCAGAGTAAGGCCGTAGATCTCCTTGAATCTCTTTATTACGATGTTCTTAGAGACAATCGGCGCTTCAAACTAAGCACTTACCAACAATCTTTTAGTTAACGGAATTTACATTTTTAATTCCCAAGACTTACCTTCTATTAACCTCCGCGTTGATTGGTCGTTGTTTTTCTTCAATAAGCAGACACGAGGATGTTATTACAGGATTTGTTAGGATACAATAGCTGACGTTTTGGCGGTTTCACCTCCTTCAGAGCCTCGAAAGGTCAAATTAACATGCAATCTACTCACCCGAACACTTACATAAATACTCCACTAGGCGCGCATAGGACGCAAAAACACAGCGGAGATTTTTGAGGTAGGAGTCACTATCCCTACGCAGGAATCGAAAACATCAGCGCGTAAAACTCTTGAAGCGTTTTGGATCAATGCCAAAAATTCAAAAATGAACCGCAAGGAGGAGTGTCTTGTCATCACGCGTGACCTGGCGCCATACCTCAGGCTGATCCAATGACCTGACATGGACACAGTTATCGACCATGTATTACTCTGTGCGGCGACTATCCATCAATTGACTTAAATACTTACAACAAATAAACGGTAGGTGTTTGAATGAAGCTGTTTCTTATGCGAATGCAAATCGATTTGTCAAGTTTTATCTGCTGGGGTTATGAAAGTGTTTGGCTGAGTAGATCACATCTCAATTTGACCTTTCCAGGCTCTGAAGAAGGCGAAACCGCCGAAACGTCAGCTATTGTATGCTAATAAATTCTATAATAGCTTGTGTCTGCTTAATGAACAAAAACAGCAGATTACATTTTTAAGTTACCTTGTCTGTGCTTTCTTTATCGCTTTTAGTTCGACTTTAACCCTTTTCTGACTCTTTTCTTCAATCATCGAATTGCTTTTGATGTATTTTAAAGACCGATATGTTACAGGTAGAGATCAACTATCCACGCGGAGACCGCGATCAACTCGAACTTACCACTTCCGATATCCGTCGGCCATACCGGCCACCAACACCTGCTTACCTTAGTGGTCAAGCGATTGAGTTTGTTAACTTTAATGAGGTTCGGGCTATTCTTTTTGTTACCTTGTACATGTATTACTTGTTATGATCCTTTTGAAAATAACATCGTCTTATGCTCCATCAGTTCTCGAGAACTCGCCAACACCTATGTGAGTATGAATGGGCTTAATGTTATGACCACTATAAGACTGAGATAGCGAAATCTTTCACACCTTGACAATGTTGTAGAAAATATGTAATTTAATAGAAATTTTGTGGTTATACTATGTCCACATGATTCTCAAGCATTCTGGAAGAAAGATTTTCCTAACTTCGTTTTGAATCTCATAAAACCGAAACGTTTTGTGCACCGCGTTCGAAAAATTTACGATAATGATTTGCAGGCGATTGGACAAGTGCTATACTGGAAGCTACCGGCGAAATTTCTTGGGAATAAGGTTACCGCTTACGGGGGAACATTGAAATACACGTTCCGTTTCTCTGGCATTGGAAGACCCAATCAGGATCCCGATGTCATCATCCGAGTGGGTCACTCAGGGTGCTTTGTATTTGCGTTACATCTAGGCTTCAACTATTTATATAAAGTATATCGGTTCAGTGCAACTCGTAAATTAAGGGAAATGATATCTCGCTACATTACACACATCGGCAACCACTGCAACCGGACAGGGATAACACGGTCGAAGTGAAATTCTTCGAAAACAAGTACTTCATTCGCAAGTATTCTTCTCCTTTTGTACTAAGTAACGAAGTAATTTTTCAGCTGGAATCGTGTGGATGGCCAACAGGGAACTCGTGAGCACCTTCTCATGGCCCTTGCTGATCTCGATGATATTCTGATCAAGGTAGAGTACTTAAAACTATCATCTCAGTGTGAAGGTAACGGTAATCCATTTTCGTTGTGGAATTCAATTCTCTTGCCCTCGCTTTTCGAGTCATAGAACTGGCTTATTTAATTCGGACCTCCACACTTTCTCTCCCTAACTTTCTAGCCATTTGAGTCTTGAATTCCCGCCTCTCAAAAAGTTTCAAAATTCTATAAGAAGTGTTAGGACCTTGACTTGTCAATGTAACCGTAGCCGCATGGTGGTTAAGAATTGTAATTATGAGTTTACGACTTAGACACATCATTTAGGCAACGTATATGGAAGACTGTTCTCAGTCAGCGCTCGTTAGTGTGTCGCTTGAATATGCCGAGCCCTATGGACGAGGCCCTACAGCATATGAGGTGCGAAAATATTTTTTTTCATCTTCCGTATTCATCGTATCGTTCCAAAATTCAAACTGTGGGCTGAGTCGATTCAGGTAGAACAGTGTCAGTGCCCTCCTGGTTACATTGGAACGTCATGCGAAGATTGTGCTCCTGGATATTCGAGAACCGGAGGTAGTGTATAATCGGTGACTCTTTGGGAAGTGGTGGTTTTCAGAAAATAATAGGCTCGTTGTTAAGGTGGTCTCTATCTTGGTCTCTGTGAACGATGCGAATGCCATGGTCATGCCACGCAATGTGACAAGGTGGGCATATCATTTCATTTGGTTTCGTGGAGTCAGATTCGTCCTTAGTGCCGTTTTGATTTAATGAATCGATTTTACCTGTAATTCACGCAAGAACGATCACGGATTTAAAATTCCGTCAATCAGGTCATTTTAAAGCTTATTTCTGGTAAATCGTTCGCAGTGGTCAGTCAGCCAAGCTGTATTCGCAGCTTCTAAGTCTTGAATTATACATCAATACTTCAATGTTTCGTATTCACTATGTTAGTGACGAATAATCGTACTGGTCCTACCACAATTTAAATCGACTGATAATTCACTTCTTGAACGAGAGTCTTTTTCGTGGAATTTCCGGAGCGGTGCTAGAACTTTCCTACGTCGTCACCACTTTCCACTAGTAGTGATTACATTACCAGAATGGCAGTGATTTCCATGGACTCGTTCCTTTCTTAGAAGGCAAGCGCTGGTGAGGAGATATGTCCCTTGTAGTTCGTAATTGCACTCCAACTAGTATAAGGTGGTGAATACCTCGAATTTGGTGTTATTCGTTTGTTATCGCATTTAACTTGATAAACTGCAAAGCTACCGAAAAGAATGAGCATTTATGCGTCGTAATAACGTTCAACTCTTAGGAATACGGCTTCTGCATCGACTGCCAACACAACACCGAAGGAGATCACTGCGAGAGGTAGTACCCCTCTACGACAGCGATGATGGTTTCATTTTCTGACATGTGCGCTTTTAGATGTAAACCTGGATTCATCGGCGACGCTCGTCGAGGCACTCCCTACGATTGTCAGCCAGCGGCAACAAGACCGCCTTGCCAGTGCTACAACCACTCTCCCAGAGGGTGTGATTCGTTCAGCAGATGCCTGGTTCGTATTTCCCTCTATTTTATTTTTTTCATATTTCGGCTATTGATTTACAGGAAAATTTTTCATCTTTCTTAATATTTGCCTACGTATTCGTATTTCCCACTAAAAATATCAATGAAAACAGAAGCTTTAGTGGTGAAGTCGAACTCGAAGGAGAGATGTATAGAAATTTATTGAGCCTTTCAAATGAGAGTACACATTTGCGTTTTCAATGAATTACAGCAAGGGCCCGTGTGGCGCAGTGGTCGGAGGCGCCATGCAACACACGTGGAATCGATCCCCGCGTCCATGGTCCACCAAGCCTTCCATCCCTCCAGGTTTGGCATATTGGTACCAGGATTGTCTGGGAGGATACCCAGGTACTACGAGGTACTGGCTCGATACATCAGTAGGCCACGGCGAGTCATCGTAAAGGCCAGATATGCATTCAATCACCTCAAACATCAAATGATGCTTAATGAAGTCAAATGCATGGCGCATCCCCAGGGATTGATCAACGACGAGAGCGTTATTCGTTTATCCTTTTAATGAATTGTAGCATATTAAGGTACGAATAACTGAGCAAATTTCTCTTATTCGTATTCGTCGTTATCTCTAGTCCTCTGTTGACGCCATCTCGTTCCTTCCTCTGCTCCCATGCGGAAGTGGTAGAAACATCAGCTGCTACATTGCTCTCCTAAGAAAAATACAGATTTTTTAATATTGAAACTTCATTTCACTAGTTTTTCCTTTCTAGCTTTGCGAACATAACACGGAGGGAATGCACTGTGAGCGATGTAAGAAGGGATTCTATGGCGATGCTACTAAAGGAACCCCATACGATTGTACTCCTTGTCCATGCCCGTAAGTACTTAGTCGTCATTTTCTTGGTCCTCATTTTCGAACAAAGCAACTTAGCAAAGCATTTCGATTTTTAATTCCGAAAACCTAACTTTTAAGGCTTTTACAAGATTTTTTTGAAACTGTTGATTTTAATTTCCACTGCATTCGACATGGGAATAGATGCGAAGCTGTAAAAAATATCCAGAATTCGTTCAGAATTTGTCCATTTACAACTCGAAAATAAGTCTTCAAAATTTACTTGTGTGAAATTTGTCATCAAAATTCTTCCCTCTCAAGCAACTATCTAGAAAGTTATCTTGGAGTATTCCCTAAATATTAGGTCGAAGTTTCGAACATGACTTCAAAGTAGCTTCACGGTCAGCGTTTATAATGTTGCATCGCTTTTTCTATTTGTGCTCAGGAACCGATCCATTGAGTTTTAGAGGAGCAGCCGACTGCTACCTGGATTCGCAAGGTCAGGTGGCGTGCAAAAATTGTCCTGCAGGTCTTTCTGGTCGCCTCTGTGATGAGTTAGTTGTTTTTTTTTACTTACGCCCGCCTATCTTTTTCGTGACATGTAGTTCGGTCACCACGGGGAATAATCTATTTCTTCTTGATTCAAGATTCGAAGCGTTTTTTCTTACTTCTTAGGTGATCTATCCCTTTATTCAAAACTGAAATTGCCTTTTGACGTGGGACATATTTGAAACCCGCAACAAAACTTCATTGAAAACACACAAGTGGAATGGCAGATTCAGAGTATTTGATTGCAGATGTGCTCCCGGCTACACTCGCTCGCACAAGATCGCCGGCCGCCCGTGCGAGCCGATCGGCCAGGTTGGAGTCCACGAGCGCACGTACGTGCCCCCGGCGCCGCCACACGAAGGTGAACAGCCGCGGCGCAGCCGGCAGCGCAGACGCCGCATCCGCGTGCGCTCGCGCTTCTTCCAGCACTAATCGCGTCCGGGCAGCCCAGCTCAACAGCCGTCCACCAGAGAAAACAGAACACTTCCCATAGTTATTTCTAGGCTCGACACTGCCACTGCACTCTTTGGCACTGTTTGAAACGGCAAAATGAATAAATCAACTCGCTAAATATGCCATCGTGCCTTCTTGTGTTTGAAAAGTTTAAGGACAATCGTAAACATATTGCCAATGTCTCCTCTAAGCTATGTGCCATCCAGTAGTTCATTTATGCATTTTGCTCATCAAATGGTGTGCATTTTGTGCAGTGAGCATTGTCTGTGTTTGCGGTTAGCATATGACGCAGTAACGACTACGAAGCGCTCGTGTTTTCCTCGAATTAGTGTTGATTGAGATGCGGCTGGGTGCTACGTGCTTAGTGTGGAGAAGCTTCATGTTGTGCGCCAATTTATGTGCTCACCGTGTTTGGTGTTCTGTTTTGTCACTTTTTTGCTCTTCTCAATGTCTGAATATCGTCGTCGTCAGTGGGTGTAGTATCTTTGTTTTGTGGTCCTTACGTCTTATTACTATGTATTAACAACAACAGATCCATTACAAGAGCATTACGATACATACTGCCTTTTCGTATACTCAATCTAAGTCTTTTAATTCCTCATCTTTCTGTTTTCTTTTCTTGCGTGTTTAAGCACAACAGCATCATGACGTAATCCCGTTGTTCACACACGTACATTTTTCAATTAATAAACTATGTTCGCTTGATCTCACTGGGCTGTTTGTCAGTGGGTGATGGATGTTTGGTGGAGCGGTGAAGAACGCTACTCGCACGTGGTTGGCCTTCGGCATGATTGCGTAGAGATTCCTCAGCCTGGCGACCAATCACGTGCGATGCCGTCCATCTGGGATAGGCCGTCACCCTTTGTCAACGGATTGCTGAACACTGATCTGGTCGTCGTCGTCGTAGTCTCGTGCTGTTTGTCAATGCTTAGTTTGTTCTGCGTGATCGCAAATGTTGGCTCTAATCACGGCCTTCAGCGCTACGAGTGCGGATTTTGGAGCCGAGGTACCAGATGGTCGTGGAGGGTGCTAACGTTCAGTGGATATGTCAGATCATCGCGCCTATGGTACGAAATATTGAACAAGGCGCTAATTTAATTGTTAACCACTCTTCTAGTCCAAAAACTAAGCTCCCAAGAAATTTAAATGTGTGTGTATGTGTCGAGGACACTGTGTGAGGTGTCGTTAGATAAGGGGATTCTCAACAAAAACCAATGCTCATTCAAAAACAAAGTCCTGCGCACATACACTCGCACTAGAACATAGTAAAATTTGGTGATTAACTTCAATAAAGACTGTGGTTTTGTAGTTGGTCAGGAAACACTGCACAGGGGAGTACTACTACCTGGCCGTTGTCAATAAGTATGAATAACTCAGCGTATAAATTCATGCAGACTACGCGAAAGGTCTATCAGCGTATGTGAATGTTAACATATTCGCTACATTGCATGAAAGTAGTGTGAATTTTGGGGTTTAAATAACCACATTTTATAGCGAACTTTGTCAATTGTCAGATTAGCGCAGTATCAGAATTTCATCTTTACCAAATAGGTAAATAGCTTTTTAGAAACATTGCATAAATCCTTTAAGCGGCTGAGCAGGTTCTCACCAAGCCCTCTTCATGAAGTCCTGTTAATTTACCCGCTCTTTAGCCGCTCTAGTTGTTAGAAAATCATCGACATCTGTCGGAAAGGCAGCATTGCAGCGAATGCATCAAGTGCATACAGATACGACTACGGTAAAGCGATATGAAGTAACGCTTAAACGAAAACTGGTAAGATCTCGCAAGTTATACTAAAATAATGGCCATATTGTTGTAGAAAATGTGACCACGCATTTTGGTCCTATAATTTGAGCATGCGTTTTCTGAGATTGACGCTAGAGGTGGCAGTACTTGCCAGATGACAAAGAGGCATTGCTCCTTATGAATAAACTCTTAAGGGTCTTTTCTGCCCATTTGCAGACCGAAATAGTAGTGGAGATGTCGTCGTTGTAGAATGTTAGATTTCTACCATCTTATCCCAAAAATGTCGAAGGATTAATAGCAGACACTTTAATCTTGTACGCGGCCAAATTCCTGTGGTTCTTCCCAAGCAGGATTTTTGTGCAAATCTTTAATTCATTTTTGAATTTTTCATTCTTCGTCGATAGCAGTGCTAAAAGTGGTAAGGGCAAGTGGTAAAATGGTAAGACCACAAGACCACTACGAAATAAGGAATCTTACTTGTTAAAGGAAACGTCTAGTCAAATGAATAAAATGAACAGCGAATTACTGGAAAGAAACTGTTCACATCTTAATTACAGCGTTATCTATCCCTCGCTCTCCAGTAGTTTCCTGTGCTGTGTGACCTGGACATTTGAACAATTCTAATGGTCTCCAAAAATTTCTTAGTTGAGCCTTAGCAGTGCTCTTTCAAAGACGCTCATAATTATGTGTTTTACATGCGTATTTGTCCTTTAGTTCTTTTTTAGTTGATTTGCTTTATAACTTCGTCTCTATGCAGCGCGAACACGTCCGTCTTGAATGGACTCGTGTCGGCCATGCATCGTTGCCGATCACGGCCGACGCCATCTACGACCGTGACGCCGTGTTAAACCTGAAGGCAGTTGGTCAGCACGATGCCGGCCAGTACCGCTGTACTGCCACCGTGGTGAATTCGATCGCCACCGACGATGCTATTCTAACCATCGGCGTAACACCCAGTCAGTACTAACACTTTTTCTTTCGCTTCTGCGCTCAATGCTTACTACGCTGTAATCACTTCATTGCTTCCTCGGTTTCGAAAGTCCGCTCTTCTCAGAACAATCACACGGATTGTTCTGTTGAAAAAACATTTGTGCACCAATTACAATCATTTCATCAAAAGCGATTAAATTTCTTTAAAAATCCAAACTGCACGCAGTTTTGAAGATCTTACTTCATGCCTAGATTTTACCTATTCCTTTACTTATTCCGAGATATTCAGTATTCTTCTCGCTGTGAATCTAAGCATGCAAATACGCTGCACTTTGTGTTCAGCGCAAGAAGCAGAAACATTCCAAAAAGAAACTCTCCTTTTCTAGCATCATTTATTTGTATAGTGGAGGACGATCTCCAAAGATATTTGCGAAACTCCGGACCGCAGGTGTATGCGGTGGGAAACGAACAAGCGCTATTGTCCTTACCGGGAAGTGGCGCACTTCACCACCACACCATCCGGGTCCTTCGCTTTGCCTGTTTCTCAGCTAGTTCTATCGATCTTTTGCCATCAGCAATCACCCGTCAACGGGATTGATCTGGAGAGCCCAAATCGGCATTGAACCCAGTTAAGCTGAGGTTTAGTTATAATCACAATCTTAACCCTTTTATTTGCCTTTTTCTTTTTAATGGCAGGGTATGTTGCGAAATATAACTCGTATATAATGCTGAGATATTTGCAAAACTCTGGACCGCAGGTGTATGCGGTGGGGAACGAACGGGTGCTGTTGTCCTTACCCGGGAGTAGCGAACGAGTGATTGCTGATGGCAAAAGATCGATAGGCCTAGCTGAGAGACAAACAAAGCGAATGACCCGGATGGTGTGGTGGTGAAGTGCACTAATCTCCGGTAAGGACAGTAGCGCGCGTTCGTTCCCCACCGCATACACCTGCGGTCCGGAGTTTTGCAAATATCGCAGCATTATATACGAGTTAGATCTCCAAAGAGTTTTCGGATATTAAGCATTGTCCAGTTTTGGCACTTGAATACACTTTTCTTTAACACGTTAATGATGTTTTGACCCTTATGAAGTTCTAGAGTAGGAAAATAGTTATCGCTTCCAACCACAATATCTCAACTCGTAATGAACATCATTGATTGCAGTAAAAACAAAAGAAAATCCACATATTTTTGCTTAAAAGACACAAATTTTCCTGTTTTGCCATGACGATGTTCTGAATTTTCAAAGCCACTGGAAGGTTTTCCTTCTACCTTTTTTGCGTCAACGTTCGTATTTCTCACACGAAAGAAACTGAACAAGCGGAAACCATTCCAACAGTACACAACGCTGTCCTCCAGTGTGTCGTTTCTTTTCGCGGCTGCAGCGCATGTGTTGAAAATTTAAGCTCGTTTGCAATTTGTTCTAGAGTTTCGATTCCAAACATTTTTAGAATCGAAAGATGATTTATAAAGACCTTAAAGCGATAGAATAAAGAGTTTTCTATCCGCCTTTAAAGATCCCAACTCTTCCACCGCTCTGTTGATGGAGAAATCTAAATTACTAACTGGGGTGAGCAACCTATCTTCGTCGAAAAAATGGTAAAGAAAGAAGAAACATGGATTTTAGAGTGTGGAATTTTTTAAATGGAGCTTTTTTACATATTTCTTACGAAATTCTTTTTTTGAAATGTTGTGACAAAAAGCTAGTTAATTACCTGCCGCCTTACTGGTTAATTTTTATCGTAAATTCTTTTTATTTGATTGAAAATTTTTTTCCTGCAAGATTTATCATTCACTTTTTTCTCTGCGTCTATTTCGGATATCAAAGTTTTTGTTACATTTTAATGTCAACTGACGAAAAATAGGCGTTCACCCGTTGAGTTACGACTTCTGGAGGCATAGAAACAGCGTTCCCTTAGAATTTTGTTCACTATATTGATAAGCTAAGCCCTCCTCGCTATTTATTCCAAAAGGCGCATCTGTATGGAAAGTTTTTACATGATGTAGATACCACTTTGCGGATTCTATGTGGGTTCATTTTATTGATGAAACCTGGAGTGTGCTAATATTCTCATTTTTTAAATCAGTCGTATGTTATCGCCTTGTTTTATTTGCCTAAGGTCCATGTTTTTGAGCATGAGTGTATTCAAGAGGCGTTAAAAAATAGAGGAATAACCGAAATCTCTCCAGTTGGACGACCACCGCAACCTATTGTCGATCCCGAGCATTTGACGGTGAACGAAGGAGAGTCGGCCTCGTTCCGTTGTTGGGTTGCCGGAATTCCGGATTGTCAAGTAACATGGCACAGGGTGCATATTATTTGACTAAAACGCATCACGACCGCTTTTCTCATAATATTCTTGCTTTAAGGAGCGAATTGGCGGTGCTCTACCTCATGGAGTATATCAAACTGGAAATGCTCTAAAGGTGTGGTAGTAGCTGGTGTGATTTACTGTTTTTGAAAAAATACTATTCCTATAGAGTTGAATGAGTTGTTGTTTTCTGTAGATACCAAAAGCTCAACTGCACGACGCTGGGAACTACATATGTACAGCAGTAAATGACTACGGTATTGGACAGTCTCCTATCGCACGTTTGGATGTGGTGAGACGTGAGTGGCACAGATCTTTTGCTTTTACTATTTTCATCATGTCTTTCAACTTCTTGAACGATCCCATATGTCGCAATTCATATGGCTTTATGAGATCGCTGTCACACTAGCCGCTGTTCGAATAGCCAAAGACAGATTTGAAAACGAATATTTGTAAAAGTGTAGAAAATGTCATTGATGAAAAGGTTTCGAATGTTCTCCATCTTCTTAGACTCTTGCATAAACACTCCGCCTAATGCAGATGACTAGCTCTCCAGAGATTTTCTTGCGCTCATCGCCTCTACCTTCAGCAGTGCAGCGTCCACGAGTCGATCCTGTCGAACAAACCGTGACCGAGGGAGAGCCGGCACGCTTCAGGTGTTGGATTCCTGGTAACCCTGAAGCAGTCTTAAAATGGCATCGCATTGGACATCAATCCTTGCCGTCTTCTGTTCAAGAACACCAAGGAGTCCTACAAATTCTCAGAGCCACATCTCACGTCAGTCAATCAATTAGTATTCCAGAAACTGCACTAGTGCTGAAAAATATTCAGTTTTCGAATTTTTCGCGCAACATTTTTTCTTTGCTATTTCCTTCGGTCAGTCAAGACTAAAAACAATTTAAATCTCTACCTTCACTTACAAATCTACTCTATAGCGGTGCTGCAAGAATGTGATGGAGAGAGTGGGAAGGTGGTAGCAATGAGAATGAGGATTTTCTGGGTGAAGTACATCAAAGTTGGGTAATTAAACCTTAGTGCGTGCATACATACTATTTACACGACAATGCAATGAGGCTAGAGATGTATATACAATAAATTACAAATGAAGCGGTTCAGTGGGTAACAGAGTGGTTCAGGGGGTGCTATATCTAACAAATTGCATTAGCAATAACGTAGAACATTATGCAACAGGTTTGTGAGGTTATGAGTAAATTGTAAAAACTGTCTGTGTAAAAATATCGCTGTGACTACAACAGGATTAGGATTTACGTGCCAACAGTGCAAGAACGTGCTAGCGATCGCGGAAATGCTTTAGCAACGAGGACGAAGATTTGCGGGCTAGAGTACCTGTGAGAAATACCATTATTTAACAAAGTTGTCATGTTAGCAACACGCAATAATTACATGAGAATCTGTTATAACCTTAATGTATTGGTAATAAAAGATTTTAACTAATATCATTTGTGACAAGGTGGACCGAAGGAGTTGTGAAAGTAATGATTATTAAGTGCGAGAGCAAAGTCATGAGAGAGGAGAACACTTCTATGGAAAATATTTCTCGTCAAACTTTCTCTATATACACAGCTCTCTTATCTTATCATTTATGAGTTGAGAAAAAAACATACCACCTTGATTGACATCAAATAAAAAAGAAAGCTTTAAAAACTCCAAAGTTAGAACTCGCACTAGGCTTCTGGTTTTCGGGAGGTCAATACAGTCTCGTTTAGGAGGCTGGTCAATACATATGTACCGCTACTGATCCACGAGATCGCAGGCCACAAGACTCAGAACCTGTTACCTTGAATATTCGTGCACCAGAAGGTACACCGTACTTCTTTTCTTTCATGTTTCGATATAAATAAGACATAATTTCAGCTCCTCTTAATCCACAAGTTGAGCCACCAGAGCAGACCGTGAATGAAGGTGATCCAACGCAGTTCCGTTGCTGGGTACCCGGAAATCCACAAGCCATACTCCGATGGAGCAAACAGACCGGCGAACGTACGAATCACTCCCTTAAATACCACTTGAGTTTTCGATAGCGAATAGTTTCTGTTTAGCGTTGCTGGAAAGGACCCTAGAAAGAGACGGTTTCCTTCGCATCAGCAACGTAAAAATGTCTGACGCTGGCGCGTACATCTGTACTGCTTCAGATCCAAGAGGCGGACCAGGCAGAGCAGCGCCTCCGGCCATACTCAATGTGAAGCAGCGTAAGTCTGCCGAATAATGCTAAAAACTAAATCCCAGTCGAACTCATCTTGATATGTATTGAGTTGCTTTTAAGGTAATAGCTATTTAACGTTCGTTGTTTAAGCGGACTTTCTATTACATCATTTTGACACTTATGCGTGGTTCATTTCAAGAAAACAAGTCAATGTAGTAAGGTAGTGTCGTTTGATTTTTTAAGAAACAAAGTCTGCGGCATTTTGTAAAAAAAAACAGAGTTAAGTTACCGTTAGCTTTTACCCATCACTCTTATTGTATTTTTTAGCTGTAATGGCTCCTAAAGTCGATCCGCCATCACAAACAGTAGAGGAGGGACAGCCATCAAGCATTCGGTGCTGGGTTCCAGGTAATCAGAGGGCTCAGCTCAAGTGGATGAAACACGTATGTTTATGTTTTTGCTGCTCTAAAATTGTCTCACTGTGGGAATAGAGTCATCATCTAAAAACACTTAGAGGGCTTTAGTGGAAGTAGTAATAGGGTCGCCAACCACTGCCACCCCATGTAGAGGAACGAGATGGAGTTCTAACGATTCCGCAGACGAGTAAGTCCGACGAAGGCCACTACGTCTGTACGGCTTCTGATCCACAAACCGGTACTTCGATTGACGCACCACCTGCACACATCGCTGTTCGGCTACGTATGTTCATTGTTTTCTCATTAACTTTGAAAACAGTTAGGATTCAATTTTTTTATTTCACCTTCTTTTAATCCTTCCTAATCAATGCAAAATATCCTATTATTACGATCACTGAGATCTGAAGCGTTCAATTTCGCAACGTAGTGTTATAGTTGAGATTATCAAAGCGACTTTTATGATTTCATACTCTGACGATTGGCACTTTTGTATAAAACTGCTTACGAATTCGATTTTTTGCTCTGCAGAGCACTTTGAGCCAAGCCTTTTATTATTTTTAAAACTGTCATAATAGAGCTGCTTTACTCCCGATTGCCGTGGAGCTGGAAAAAGTTTTCGCCGTTTTTGTAACTTTATACTTCAGCTCCTTTGACCCCTGAAGTCGATCCACCATCACAAACAGTCGACGAGGGACAGCCATCAAGCATTCGATGTTGGGTTCCAGGTAATCCGAGGGCTCAGCTCAAGTGGATGAAACACGTATGTTTATGTCTCGCTTGCTCTGAAATTGATTCGCTTTGGAAATAAAGTAAAAAGCAATTGGAGAACTTTAATGGAAGCAATTGCAGGGTCGTCAACCACTGCCGGCGCACGCAGAGGAGAGAGGTGGAGTGTTGAGCATCTCACAGACCCGAAAATCCGACGAGGGTCGTTACGTCTGTACGGCTTCTGATCCACACATCGGCATCTCAGCTGAAGCACCTCCTGCGTATATTGGTGTTCAACAGCGTACGTCTACTATTAGCTCTATCACAGAAAATAGTGTGTTTCGATTTCTTGTGCGACAAACATGGAAGCTTTACTAATGTGTTTATCACGCCGCACTTCATTTTTTAAAAAATACGAGAAAAGCACAGTTTTCTAACAGTGGCTTTTCGAGCGTTTAACTGCATTTGCATTATTTTTCTCTTATTGAGAAGATCAAGATGATTTATAGTGGTTTTCTATCGTCAACCATATAGAATGTGTAATGTCATGGACTAAAATAGGTACTAAAATGAAAATTAGAGGGAACGAAGTACGGCGGCCATAGTAGAAAGGTTTTTTTTTCCTCCGAAAAAGTAGCTATTACTTAAAATGCTTTCTGCTTTCCTATATGGGCTAGTTCCAGTTACACTTTAACTATCGAGAATGCGATTAAAGTCGAATAGAACAAGATCGAAAATTCCTCTGATTGACTCGCATATTCGAATATTCCTTATTTCACCCTGAATGTTTTTTAGCTACTAAAATGGCACCGCAAGTCGATCCGATCGAACAAACCGTTCCCGAAGGTTCGCCGTTCAGAATCCGCTGTTGGGTGCCAGGAAATCCTCATGCCCAGTTCACTTGGCGGCGAGCAAATGCTCCTATTAATGAGGATTCTACTGATGATCAAGGCGTTCTGACTGTGAATCGCGCAGATCTTTCTGACGCTGGGCAGTATATTTGCACTGCCGAAGACCCAAGAACTGGCGAAACAACCGAAGCTCCAACTGCTACCGTGTACGTCACAGCACCAACCAAGGTACCCGATGTTGGTGAAGGTAAGTCCGTTTTTTAAATAGTTCATTCAACAATACTAAATTAATTTGAAAGAACAAAATAATTCATGGTCTACACTCATATTACATACTAATGCGAATTCACTTTTTTCTGACTTATTCTCGTGTTAAGCTTTCTATTTAAGCTCCTTTGGAAGCCATCCAAATTACTCTGACAATTGGCTCTGTCTACGTCTTATACCTCACCAATATTTCTATCGTTTATTTTTCATTTTACACGATCCGATATTGTGCCGATCTCAGCAATTCTTCCATTTGATTCATTTCGACACATCGTCCATCTACGAAAATCTTCGGATTTGCATGTTCGGCTACTGATTTGGGAATTTGGGCCTTTGACCGTGCTTGATTAGTGATCGAGTCAATTCTATCGAATTCTAAGATAGCTGTGCATTCGTTTACTTTAATCACAGGCAAGCACCACCGTTTTATGGAGTGGAGGAAGCAAACTAATTCCAAGCCAGCGTGACCAATTCTCCAACAGCTAAAGGTGGGGTGCTTGGCGAGTCTGGTACGGAGTCCTTCCAAGGAATTCTTTCTGTTGAGTGATGGCACTATCACTGCACATCCCATCCTATCTCATAACCATTTCTTATGTCTACCAAAGGTTGACTGTTCAACTTGGTTATTACGAGGAATGAGCGGTAGAATGTTCGGAAACCAGAGTTCTCTGGTAACATTTACGACTTAAAGGCAACCAATACCACATAGAAGTTCAGCGTACCTATTTCTTTAAGTACTTAGATAGCGGTGCTTAAATGCCTTGCGTTTATAGTCGTTTCATCTTCACATATCAATCATTATGGTCGGGTTCATGCGCGACTTTTGACGTGACTTGAGCTGCATCAGTGGTCTCTGGCCTTAGTGGAATGGAATGTTTTCCGACAGTGGAGCTTAGCCTTCCTTGAAATCTTGGGATAACCGTGCGAACGTGTTTTCAAGTCTTCATCGCAGACGGTAGCCAATCTTTGTAGGCCGGAGTTTTGTTGTGTTGCGCCAAGGGCTCATCCAAGATCTCATTGCTTTGTTATGATGACCCAGCAATTGAAGACGATTTAGCATGCGCCACTCAAAATCAAAACAATTACCACATTATGAAAAGCATTGGTGAATTTTATGTAGCCTCGCAGAATCCAAAAATTGACACAGGAAATTGGCAAAGGCGATAAGAGCCATGTGTTGACTTCAACTCATACGTAACAGTGCCAGATTTTTGTGTCGGTCATGTAGATGAATGCCTTGGTTTTCTCGCGTGCATTATGTTGGAAAATTCGTTTAAAAAAAAACTTCATTTACAAACTGTTGATTGCGAAGAGTTGCTTTTCATGGAGCACATCTCGCATAAGATCTTTGTTTTAAAAGCTGTCGATTCAATATGAAAAGTAACGTGAAAAACAACCACAACGTTACCGAGATATTTGCAAAACTCCGGACCGCAGGTGTCTGCGTTAGGGAACGAACGGACTGTTAACCTTTCCAGGTGCTAACGCATTTACCACCACACCATGCAGGCCCCTCGTTTCACCTGTCCCTCAGCTAGTTTTGTCGATCAGTGCGATCAGCAATCACCCGTCAACGCGATTGATCTGGGGAGTCCACATCGGTATTGAATCCAGTTGAGCTGGTGCTGTAGTTGATATCACAATGTTTTACTTTTTATTTTTTGCCTACTACAGTTTTTACGCCAAAGTATTAAGCGAAGTACAACCACAGCGTTGCCAAGATATATGCTAAACCAGGTGTCTGCGGTGGGGAACGAATAAACTATTACCCTTTCTAGGAGTAACGCGTTTACCACCACACCATGCGGGTCCTTTGTTTCACCTGTCTCTCAGTATCATTGTGGTTGTTTCACACTTACACTTTTAAGATTTGATCGGTAGGGCTATCTGAGAGGGGGGCGAAACGAAGGACACGCATGGTGTGGTGGTGATCGCGTTACTACCCGGAAAGGACAATATCGCGTTCGTTACCTACCTCAGACACCTGCGGTCCGGAGTTTTGCAAATATCACGGTAACGTTGTGGTTGCTGTATTTCGCTTAATGCCTTGCCGTAAAAGTTGTAGTAGGCAGAAAATGAAAATTAAAACATTGAAGTAAAGCGAAAAAGTTCTTGGCACGAGAAGTCTCGAACGAACTTGCATTGAAATAAGTGCATATGGTTACGTATGTGTTGAACGGTCTTCATTTGCAAAATCACATGGAATAGGGAAGTGTTTACGGTCCAGCCAGAACAATTCTTACTAACAAAAAGTGGTTGTGAAGTGATAATGGGCCGTGAATAATTCATAAAATCGTTCTTTGGTTTTGTACTTTCCCACAGTATAGAAATAGTTCTTTCTGTCCGTATATTTTACTAGAAGCTCCAAGAAAATGAATGGATCTATAATCGAAGTAAACCGTCAACTCTTCAATTCGCAAATTAAACACAACGGTAGGCTCATTATTGTTCAAAAACTAAGGACCATTGTACAATCCACTCAATGACAAAAATTTTCCTGGTTTACCGAAGCCGTCGAGCTTCTAACACTATCTTAATATTGGCGTCACTCACTTGTGATAACCCTTAGATTTGTTTTTGTGGTGTGCTTAACTTCGTGTTGTAAAACTGTAATGTTTGCTGTGCTTTTAGTTGAAAGAGGTCCGGAGGTTTCGCCTCCAGAACAGACCGTATCCGAAGGAGATCCCAGTACTATCCGTTGCTGGGTCGAAGGTGATCCAGAGGCTCGTCTTTCATGGAAGCGTGCTGATGGAGGACCGTTGCCGTTTGGTGCCACCGATAGCGACGGAGTGCTTTCAATTAGCAGCACACTAAAGAGTGACGAAGGCGACTACATCTGTACATATCATCCACCGGACGGAAGACGTCCCAAGGACTCATCACCAAGCACACTTCACGTCAAGACCAGTACATATTCTTTTTTCTTCTCTTTTCCTTTTTTCTAGGTCACCAGAAATTACTTATGTGGAAAGAAATAGCTTCCTAGACATGGTTATGGTAGAATCCACTTGGTATCAGTATTGGACACCATATATAAATTATTTTTACCTGTTTTTCCTTCCTTTATTTATTCTCCAGGATTTAAAGAGGGTACGATACCTCCATACTAATTTCAGGTTTATAATAGTGCTAAAATCCTGATATTTCTTAGTGATTAGTGATAACATTGGCTTGCGGCTTTTGTTACCACATTTTTTACAGATAACAGCTTTTGTTGGCAAATTTCGCACTGTATGTTTTGTACTGGGATCATTGTTCAGACAATTTTCTTTTATTTTACAGTTTAAAAATCTATAGCTATGTTTTTAATGTGTGTTTCGTTTAGCTGGTGAACCACCTCGTCCTGTGGCCACTCCTCCCGTGCTGACCGTGAAAAGGAGTCAGCCAGCACGATTCCACTGCGATGCTCACTCACCCACACCTGCACAAATCAGATGGGGCTACGGTGATGCCGACTCAGACCTCCCTGACGGCGTTACCCAAGCCGTTGACGACATAGTCATTGACGCCGCTGACGATTCGCATGAGGGCGAATACGTCTGCTCGGCCACCAATGATTTCGGTTCTGGGGTCGCAGAACCAGTTAAACTCGTTGTCACTGAAGGTGAGTGTTTGCTTAGTATTTCTTATTTGGCAGTTAAATGCGTTTTTCCTTAACGATTTTCCTGTACATTTGCTTAATTAACTGTAGTAATTGGGAATTGTGGCATTTTCTTTCTCTATAATCTTGTCATTAAATAAATTGATCTGCAGTTGAGCAGCCTCCCACTGCGCGAGTTGAGCCACGCGTATGGAATGGAAAACCCGGCGACAGACATCAGTTCAAATGCATCGTCACTGGAATACCCACGCCAACGGTTTATTTCTTCATGGACTTAATAAAATCCACTTTTGCAGTTAATTGAACGGGTAAAAATAATAGGTCACGTGGTCCGGTCCGAATAATACTCCACTTCCGCACGATGTCACCGAACTGGATGGAAATATCTTGGACTTTTCTAATGGACGTACAGAACTCAATGGAGACTACACTTGTATAGCAACCAACCCCGTCGGAGAGGTAACTGAAATGTCTCGATCGGACCTCAGCTTTACGAGTACTGTTTCTTGTGAAGGCTTCTGATCATGGTTCGGTGAATATTGGACCCTCGTTAACGGTTAAAACCACTCCAGCCGGTCCGCGGCTTATTCTCACGGCCGGTGAACCACTTCTTGTGAAGTGTGAGGCATTTGGAGAACCTGAGCCTGAGGTACGTATATTGTTCTGCTTTGTTATCGGTATCGTTAATGTACCTTATAGTTTTCAAGAAACTTCGTTTTGATAGCGTAGGCGTACTTTGAAGCTAAAAGATGATTTCTAAAAGTGGGAGCACAGTTGAGTAGAAGAAACGGAAAACTAATTTTTAGATATAGTCTAAAATTCTTTGCTGTAACAGGGCAACACGCAACAACTGAAGAAGACTTCACATCTATTTTAAAAGCATTCAATACATTTCGTAACGTTCTTTTGTTTGAGGACAAGGACTGCTTAGTTCGTTTGTTTTAACGCCTTGGGCTTGGCGTATGTCTGATAATGCGGTCACCTAGGTGTCTTCAATTACTTTAGCAAATGTCTAGAGAAGTGAGATGTCCTGTGCTTCGAAGACTGCTGGTTTACACCATTTCAGATCATTTCCCAACACAATCACCGCAATTATTTTCCAATCCATACTTTTTGTTTATTATTTTTTTTATCATAGTCACCATCCTTATGATATGGGAGAAATTCTAATCAGTGTACTAGTAACAGCAGCACAGAAACTGAAAGAAATTTTCATAAGGACTAACTGTTTGTGGGTAAAGAGGTATAGGCATTACCACTACTGCCGTTTCCTCAAACGTTCTTGATTCCACAAGACTCCAACAATGAAGCTGATAGCAAATTTCGAATATTTCCGGATGAAACTTCTAAAATCCTTAATCGGAGTTCAGCTCCAAGTACTCACGAAAGCTAACACTTCCATGCAAGAGGTTCGAGAGCTGATAAGGTAAAAAAAAACATTAGATTATCTGTTAATGGTAAGGGTGGACAGTTTTTAGTAATCTCTCGTCAATTAGATGTTGAGAAAATAAACAATCATTTTAGATGATGACTTCTTTTATCGGCTGTTATCTGTTAAAGAATTCGAAAGTCACTACGAAAAATTGAACATAGAATAGATAGGTTAAGGTGGTAGGAGCGGCTGGTTTAAAACCATCAGTAACTTCTCAACTAAAAGTTGAATTGTCGGCACGTCCCGTCTTACATATTTATCGTTGAATTAACGGTATGTCCCGTCTTATACTTATCAAAACCCATTAGTTGGTGTCCACTGACGATCTTGCCTTTACTGATCCATTGTTATTCAAGGTTAAATCTTTTATTAGCTGTGTAGACGTGCCAATAGAAAGAATAACGTAGTTTTTAACCTAAATACTTATCCAGTCGTTAAAACACGTCCAGGTCCATGTTATAAACACTCAGTTGTTTCTCGATCGTCTAGGTAACGAGCATCCTACGAGCGCGTTTGTGGATGGACTCCTTCGACAATACCGCACTTCATATAAACATGTACAAGCCATCCTCGAACTCCTTATACAACGCGAAGGAGCAATAAACAAGTATGGGTTCACGACACAGTAGCTGATAGCCCTCTCAAGGGAGTGCCTGAAATGCTCAACCTTCAGGTGGTCCAGGAAATCTTATGCATAAATGAGAGGGCTAACAATTGGGCAGCGACTGGCACCAAGACTTGCTATTGCGTTTATGTCTAAGGTGGAAGCACCATTGATCGATCTCCGGCCATTACTGTAGATATATAGACGATCGTTTTGTCATCTGCTCCACTCAAGAGTAAATGGACGAACGTTTCGGGTTGTTGAATGAACAGTCAGAGTGCACAAAGTTTACTCGAGAGAAACCGAAAGGAAATTGGCTTCCATTTCCAAACGTTCAAATCAATCTATCCGAAAACAACTACATTACGAAGTGGTACTGAAAGCCAAATTGTAAAAACAAACCGGTTCATTACCTATCTTCTTACCCTCACATGCAAAAAGACCGCTTGTAAAAAACATCTTTCGAACACACAACGGCGTCTTTACAGGAAGAGAATAGAAGGAGGAATCTCGTAAATTGGTGTTGCAATTATCCATCTCCAGTGGCTAAGAAACTGTAGCAACTCGGGATAGGTGTAAAGGAAAGCCCAAGCCCCAAACAATAACTCTAGTTAGAGTAAGGTTCCGTTAATCCTATCATTCATTCCCAACGAAATAAGGAAAGTTATAAAGTGTTTTTTTAAGAAGTAAACGGAATTCTGTAACAGTGATCGAAATACCACCAAGCACTCTCAGACACCAACTGGTTCGTAACCGCGCGCATGACCGCAGTGTTATTCCTGGTTAAACATCGGGTTTTCCTGAAATGTTTTGCTCCTTCTGTAGCTTTATTGCGATCCTTTACGATGGGGTGCATTTTAGAGTGATGGAACAGTTAGTCACAATAAAATTGGCTACGTTACATAATCAGTAAACTGTGCAGGTGGAATGGCTTCATGACCCTGGACCAGAGCGTGGAGACCTACCGGATGACTACAAGCCAGTTACCATCTCAGAGCAATTCATCCGACATCCATCGATTGGACTCGGAAATGCTGGCGCCTACACTTGCAAGGGATCAAGCAGCCATGCCACTGCTACGAAAAACATTTACATCGAAGGTGGGCAACTAAGCTTTTGCTCCGAATTTTCGTTTTTTGTGAATGATTTTTTATATTTTAGAAAAGGTAGACAGAGGCCATGACATTGAAAAACTGTTGTCCTCATGAACTCAATTTGTGAAGATTTAGTATCAAATGACGAATTCAAGCATTTTATGTCAAGTTGTTACAAATATTTTTATAGAGTGCGCGAGTTCCAAATTTACAAGCTTCCACTCTTCACGCAATGGGAAAGAATAGAATAGAAATTTTTCTCTGCTTCTAATGACGATTTTTGGGGATTGCTTACTTCCAGTCGATATTTTTGTGAGGTGAAACTTCCTGAAAGAAAAGAAAATTGTTTTCTATCAATGTAGTTTAGTTGTGGAGCCATCTCGAGTGGCTACGGTATCGATCTTGGGTGGATCTTCCCAGTGGTTCGAACAGGGTGAACCGGCAGAGCTGATTTGCACGGCTACCGGTAGTTCATTGGTTGACCGGCTGGAATGGGTCAAGGTAACACACAGTTAGCCTGTGTTTCCTAACACCGTTTACTATTAAGTTTTCAGGTTGACGACCAGCTTCCAGTTGATGTGGAAGAACACAATGAACCTGGCCTGCTGCATTTCCCTAACTTCAAGGTTTGTTCTTGTGGCGGCCGAATCTATTGACCACTCGTGATAATGATTGAAGAATTTAACAGCTTCATTCATGTGAAGGGCTTCGAAGCCTTTAGTAATGAGACTTCGTGGTGCATTTCCAGGTGAAGTGTGAGAGGTTAAACGCGTAACATAAACTACTGTATTCAGCAAACGCAGCCCATTGGGCGATTCTAACACTCGATAGGGGTAAAGGAACAATTTGGTGGTGCGTATTGCAGATAGTTAACTGGGTGTTAGACGATATACATGAATGGAGAAGCATAGCTAAAGGAAGCTTTGAAAACTCTTCTAAGAACTGCGGAGTGGACGAAATAGAAACAATGTAAAACGTTAGTAGCGTGTGACTTAATTCGAGTGTTTTTCAAACACTAGGACAATGCGCTCAAAACTCTTGACGCATTCTGGTTTAATTCCAAGAACCCGAAAATGAACCGCAGGGAAGAACACCTCATTATCACGCGTGATAGGGCTGTATTTAAACCTGTTATTCTGATGGAAGGAGTACATTACACTTCCATGTGAACTCTGTGCGGTTGGTCTCCACGTGACATATTCAGTCGAAGCCTCAAAGAAAGCGGTGAGCGTCAAATAAACTATTCTATGTTCAATGTGATTGAAATCTTAGCTTACCACTTTCTACTTTTGGTTACGGAGGTGTTTGGCTGGATAGATCAACTGAACCTTTTCAGACTCTGAGGAAGGCGAAATCCGCCGAAACATCAGCGTGTGTGTTGATAAAGAAATAATAACATCTAGTGCTTGCTAAACAACAATAAAAAGTAGGACAATGTGTTAAATTTTTATTACGTCTCAAATTTTCCAAAGTTTCTTGATGCATTGAGAATTCGAAAATCAAGACCTAGTAATTTGTCTCCAGTGTTACTGATGAGATCTTATTGTTGAGTATTTTTATGGACCTCTGCTTGTTCTGAGAAACATTTGCTGTTTGGTATAGCTTAACCTTTTTTCAGAACGTTGAAGAATAAAAAGGCAAAGCTCTAGGCGTTGATCAATCCCTAAGAGATGCGCCATGCATTCGGCTTCATTGAGCATCGTAGAGGTGATTGATTCCATAGTTGGCCTTTATTGACTCGCGGTGACCTAACGATGTATCGAGTCAGTGTTCCTATCCTCCCAGACAAGTTTGATAACAAGTTACCAACACCGGAGGGGTGGAAGGCTTGGAGGGCCAGGGGCGTGAGGATCGGTCCCATGTGTATTGCGATGCGCCTCCGACCACTGCGCTGCACGCGCCTTATTCCAGAAGGTTAACATTTCACAGTTCATAAGTGAAAAGAACAAGCATAGCTTTCATGCAAAAGAAAGGAATATTTTCCAACTTTTTTACAAAAAGCGCTCACTTTCTGCACTTCATTTCTTTTTATTTCACATGATCCGTTATCGCATCTACTTTGCGGATCCCAGCTCTTCTGCATTGCTTTCGTTTTCTCACATTCATCGTATATATAATGGCCTTCGAACATTCCAGGTGTTGTTTTGGCTGATGGTTGAAGAATTCGGTTTCTTTGTGGATGTCTTAGAATGCGCACCAACTCGTTTCTCCTAGAAATCTTTCAGATGGCCAAGATAGTACGTTCCCGCGTGGATGAGAAGTGACTGTTGGGGAAGAAGTCGAACTAGCGCCTTTGCTCCATGATCGACGGCATCGTTAATAATTGCGCTATTCCTCTTTCACCGTTTAAACAAACTGGAAATTCTCTTCATGCCTTTGACGACTACAACAGCTGGACTCTAACTCTTAGGCTTGGTGATGGTGTGTTAAGGTATAGTGACGTGCAGTCTAAAAACTGTTGGAGATCTATGTATGTGCTTGCCAGTGTCTCTAGTTGTTTATTTGTACGTGTGTATGCGTGCGTGTGTGAATGCGTGTGTGCGTGTGAGTGTGTGCTTTTTTGGGGTTGGTCTCTCACGCAACAAATTGCCTAATTGTTTTTTACATTATATGTGGCGTCTTAATTTTCATCGTTGGTAAATTCTCTTCATTCTCTTGATCAATTGTGAACGCTGCTGATTAATTTTCCAGTGTGTTGAGCCCAACATCCGCTCTAACATTAACATTTATAGTGCTATGGCGTCAGCAAGAATCATAAGCATTGTATCATAGTAAATACTGAGAGTATTGTTATGCTGAGATATTTGCAAAACTTGGACGCTAGGCCAGTTCGAACCTCGTTTACGCTTTCCGGGGGCTCATGTGTTACGCTCGCCACCACCGATGCTCGATTTGCTTTTCTCTCAACCAGTTTTCTATTCAACGCTGGCATTGGCAATCACCCGTCAACGGGAATGATCGGGGGCACAAGTCGGCGTTAAGACACTAATTCAGGAAATGCATTAAGATATGCTTTTGCCTACTTAATCGAGATATCTATAACGTTTGTTTAAATTTGAAAAAATTGCATAACAGCAATGCCGATTTGTGTTTCCCAGATCATTCCTGTTGATGGATGATTGCCAATGGCATCGTTAGATAATGGCTGAAAGAAAAGCAAATCGAGTGCATCAGTGGTGCCGCGCATAACACGTGAGCCCACGCAAAAGGTAATTGCGGTTCCATCTGTCCTAGGGTTCAATTTTGCAAACATCTCAGCGTCACAGTAGGTGTATTTCACATCATACCCCTGTGTGAAAAATAATAGCAGGCAATAAACAAAAAAGGTAAGGTAAACACCGGGAGTATTTTTAAGAATGTAGCGGGTATAAGTACAATTATGGTGATATCAAAACAAATTGTTGGAAGCATTTTGGAGAACTCTACTAACAAAATTTAGTAACATTTGTTGCTCACCAGATAAAAAATCACCATGTTCACTTTTTATCTACTGCCTACTACGTTTTCACGGCAGGGTATTATGCATAAATCAACCACAACGATCATTCCGGTTGACGAGTGAATGTTGACAGCACTGGTAGGGAGAAAAACTGGCTGAGAGAAACTCAGAACAAGGGCCTTCGTGGCGCAGTGTGTGATGCGCTACCACCAGAAAGGGAAGTCGTGCTTCGTTCTGGCTCGAGGTCCAAGTTTTACGAATATCTCAGCATCGTTGTAGTTAAAAGATCACCATTCGCTGACAAGTGTAAAATTAAGATCTTAACTGAGGAAACCTTTTATTAATATCAATATTTTCTTATAGGTCTCTCTATCTTTTTACTCAGTAGTGCTTCTTCCAAATACAAATAAACGTCGTAGGTATCTCAAAAAAGTATCTAAATGTATTTCCTAAATTAGTGTTCATAAGAACAATGAGAGCAATATGTCTATCATCCAGTTGAAAGTTAAATCGCTTGTAAGCCTGTTTTTTGGTGTTGAGGCTTTTAAAATTTTCGATATCCACGTTATCATCACGTACTCCTTGCTCAGAATTCCTTTGCGGGAGAATACGAATGTCGAGGATATCGTAACAACGAGCTGATCGCGTCCGGTTCCGTGCAAGTCTACTCCACCACAGACGTCACCGATGACGCAAAGGTGAAAGCTGCTCTGTATTTGAAGTCGTTTTCTACTAAATTCAGTACTTCTTCCGATATTTCGGGTTTATACTAATAACTTTTATACGTGAGACATTAGTGACCAAATTAGGTGGGAATTCATGCCACGAAGAACAGGAATGTTTATCAGTGCTATTTAAGATCCTCGCAAGAAGGTATAACTGTTTTACTTCCATTTTGCTTCCGGTTATCCATCATTGCAACCGAATTAACACTGTATGGTTTAACATGCTAGTTCACATGCAAATGATGGATTTAATTTAATGCGAATTTTGTTGTCCATATTCCCATGTATTCAGAGATGTTTTACAGCATCATTAAAGTGACACTGAATCAGCATAGTCTGATTTCTGCAAAGCCAACAATATGGTTTAATTCGAAGACACTAGCAAACAAAATATCTGTTTCGTTGATTTGCTAGCTGGTTATGTTTTGGGCTGATAAGGTCGAAGCCTGTTTTTCAGGTTGAAATCGAACCGCCACGAGTACGAGTTGTTTCTCAGGGTGAATCTATTGTACTGAAATGTACTGTGGAAGGTACGTTGCACTGCGAAATATAGCGTCGCTTATGTGCCTTGCTGCTTCTTCTAATTCAGCATTGAACTGCTTGTCTTTTGTCCTACCGAGCTGTGCCGAAATTTGATCAAAGAATGAAGTCACCGAGAGTAGTCGGGTGTTGCGGAAGGCTAAAATGTTCAGTAATTTTTTTATTTCTTAACAACTAGTTTCTCCTCTCCCATCACGGATTAGGCCAGAGACTAGGCAAGATTTTCTCGAAAAAAGAATAGAGTGATCCTCGTTTAGCTTGATAAATGAATGTGATAACGTGTAGCACTGTACTGAAAGTTTATTCTTCAATTGCTCTTGCAACACCTTCATAATACCATAGCAGGTTTTCAAAGAATTGTTTCTCTAGGTCTTCTTTTCAAAGAGGTATTTCTTAAGGTCTTCAAGTTTACCGACTATGATTTGGTGACGTTCTTGGAGATCGAGTTGTTCAGCACAGCTTTACAAACCCGTTGTGATTGTTGAATAATGTTAATGATCGATAGAGTCGTCCAAGCGCGATTAAATTTGTGTCGTCAAAGCAAACTTCGGATTGGAGAAAGGCGACGACCATTGAAGCGCGACTGGATGGTCTGAGTGGTGTAGCTCACAATTAGTTATAGAGCTTCTTGTCCATAACCTCCCTCTCTTTCTTTTTCTTTACTGTTTTTCCTTTCTCTGCTTGCACTAACACTTGCTTCAGATCCAAAATCGAGTGTTTTATGGTGGCGCACTCAAAATCTCACTGATGTACGAGTGGTTGGATCGTCGGAATTTCTTCATCTGCTGTTTGTTGATGCGTATGATCGAGGAATCTACTACTGTACAGACGAGTATACAAACTACGGTCATGCTCATTCCGTTTACAATATCGTCGTACTGCAGCGTTCATCACTCGGTTCTCTTTGAAGGATTCCTCTTCTCACTTACATCGTCAGAAGAGAATAACGTGTTCATTTGTACTACAGAATATATTTTAAGAAAAACGCTGTTGCTAGATGATTTAGCCAAATTAGTCTGACAAGCGTTCTCAAGCTCATTCAGAGGTTTTCAAAGAATGAGAGCTAGTACGTGGCGCTTTTTCTCGAGCAGTAGTTTTGGAACGGAAGATGCGGAAAATATCTGTGTGGAAAACTCTGTTAGCAATTCATTGTTTATTTGTCGAGAAGAAAAGCATGACGCTGTTTTATCATCCATCCCATTTTGGTTAGCCTTCTATGTTGCGAGGCAGATCTTTACAGGGTTATTAGCCTATGTTCTGCTAATCACTGATGAAGCATGACGATGTCTTATGTGCAAGAGCTGGTACCTATTGATCGGTGTGCGATATCTGTTCATCATTTTATATGTATTGGTCGCAATCTCGATCGTTGTCGATACCATTATCGTTAACGATGCTTTGAGTTTTAAACCGATCGATAGACACCATCGTCTATGTGTAGGGTAAGCTGCAGTGTCAATTCGTCTCAGAACACTAGTTTCTAACAATTACAGTACTCATTGTTTACTATTAACAATATGAAGTAACACTAACGGTGACACAAACGTTTCCAAGTTCTCTATGAAGTCTGATGGTCTGAAAGCATGGAAGAAAAGCACCGCTTTTGCGATTTATAAAGAGATCAAAAGAAATTCTTTACAGATTTCAAGTAGGCGAAGGTGACTTGTACTAGTTTAATAGTGCTGCCTAGTTTCTGTCATATAACCTATACTTTATCACCTAATATAGTTCCATCTATTCAGAAATGCGACCATCAGACTCTATGTGAGTATGCCGAGTGCGACGCTTAACGCAGGCTTCTCATATTGTTAGCACTCTGTGTTAATTCTTTTAAATTCACTCTTACAGTTATTTTCATGGCACCTTTCGTAATGTTTCCACAACCGACTACACCTGGGTTTAGGCGCTAAGAATGGCGAAAACTTTGAATGGGCGCTGTTGCGAGGAGGGAATATCGTTCGGAAACTTGGAAGTGAAGCCACACTTCATGTCAAGAGCGCTGATCCATCCAACGACTTTGGCGTCTATCGATGTAACGTCGAGGACGACAATGGAGTTGTCATCGGCAGCGCTTACACTGCCGTCAGTGTCGGATACAGTGGACAAACCAGTGCGCAAATGAAATTGTTTGGGAGTTCAGAAAACAGAAGTGTAGTGTGTAGTCAAAATCCGAGCTTTAATTTATTGCTCCACAAAAACTTATTTACTTTTCAAATATTAATAATATTAATAATGCCAATCTTCGGATATTTCTTATCTGAGGAATTATTCAAGAAAGTGTATGAAATTTTCTGAAGTGAAGGATAGCGGGTTAAAAGTGCATCAAAAACAATCATTTACCACAAGACAGGTCGATTTAAGGAGTGGGTTCACAGAGTCTAGCACATTGGTCTGGCATATACCTTTCAGAAGCGCGTAATCATGTTCATGTTTGCGTTCACTTATGTGCTTGCAATGTGCGATTAAGATCCTGAGCGTTGACTATCTAAAGGCCTCACATCTACTTCGCCAGTACTGGACAAGTAACGCGTGGTTATATCGTCTATCTCTACTTTGGCGGTACCCGAAAATGTGCCCATGAGCATGCTAATTTTCATAGCATAATCTAGAGAACAATGATATATGAGCAATCTTTTGTCAAATAACTCCAAAATTAAAGAGCAGCATAGAAAAGTGTACCACTTCTTCTGTCCCTCAAATAAGTAAAGGCGGCTAAGTAGCTCTGACGTACTATAGAGGAAAGTAGAGACTTTACTGGTACCCGGTCAGGTCGGTAAATAATTAGAAGGTTCGCGATAGTGTATAAGGCTCTAATTGGTAGCTAGGCACTAACAGAACGCATCGAAGAATTGCTTTGACTTTTTTTAGGCTTATCATAGATCAAGCGAATTCGAGGTGTGACTTTGACGATCGACTGTATTAATTACTTTTTTACTTCCTTGGATACTTGGATGGCCCATCTTCACTGGTTGTTTAGGTTCGAGCAAAACTTTCATTCGTTTCTTTCTCGCACAATCGTCACCCATGGTGCTGGTCTGCCTCGAGCATAGTGACGTCTACGAAGCCCATTCCGTAATTCTGAAATAGTCGCTATCGCGCGAGGTCCTTCACTAGTCTGGCATTTTCTCTTTCTGATGGTAAGATGTTATATGGTTTGTCAGAATATAAGTAATTTGTGGCCTCAGTTTCTAAGGAAGGCGGTGATAGTATCGAGTTTTAGAACGGAACTGTGTCTCCCTTCATGATCTCTATCACATCTAGAACCTCAGAGGGTAGAATCCTGGGCAATTTTCACCAGCAGCGATTTCTCGGGCCATAGCTGGGGTTGTGAAGCGGGAAATACACGGAACTCTTCCATTATCAATCTAATATCGTGGCGGTATGTGGTGATTGTGTCATCATCGTTCATTAGAGCGAATAGCGTAACATTATAGTCGGAGAGATCACAACGGCACTTCTTCAGAACTCGTCGTTTTTAACCTGCTCCCAATAGGTTTCTCTGGCTCTACCGATGTAAATGCTTCTGCTAGGTCTTCTACAGCTGGCATCTATGATCAGCCGTGCTAGGCCATGTTGCATTAGTACCAAAATTCATTGTCTTTTCTCTTCGACAGACATTATTGGTAAAGGAGATGTGGTCTAAACTCATAAAGAGTGGACTTCATTGAGAATATCCTCGCCACATACGACTTGTTTCATTTTTTTTTGGATGGGTCTCGTTTTTCTTGGATGGTGACAGTTCTTTTCCAGCTTATGGTTAAATCGAATCCTCCTACAGAGTGCGTGGTGGTCAGTTCCTGTACAGAATCCAGGTACCACTGAGTTGTCAAAGAGACGTTTTCTGTTCTTGAGAATGTGGTCGATCTCCGCACAAGTCGCGCCGTTAGGAGAATCCTGTGTCCATCAGCGATTTCCACTCTTCTCGAAAAATGAATTCTCATTGGTGGGACATGCTGAGGACGAGAATCGTACAAGACGCTTTCTACTCTTATTTCGTTCTCCTATTCTGAATTTCCCCATTTTGTGTTCTCTTTTGTTTGCTGTTCGCAATCTAGAATTGAAACCTTTGACAACGGATTTATCAAAGGACTTTTCCTTGTGGATTAATTCCTTCAAATTGTTGTGAAACGCGTCCGATTCGCTTTTTATGAGCTGTACAAGATGGTGAGTAACAGTTATGACATTGACATTCTTTTGTCGTGGAAGGTAAAGACGAAGAATGGCCAAGCGCGGAGACAGGATTTCGTTTGATGTGAGTAGTTGGAAATAGATGGGTGTATGACAAGCCGGTGCCTGCAACGATTCGTAACGGAAATTTCCCAACACGAATGATAAGGCGTCCGTCATCTAATTCTCATGTGTCGGTCTTGTGCTTTTCATCTCTTGTAGGGTGATCACATGGAATTCGATATGATCGGTAAGCTGAAAAAGATCTCTTCTTGAGACTGCTGATCTTGACTGTATAATTAGAGTAGCTAAATATCTTTATTGCTCTTTTTATCAAAAAAGCGATAAGAAGCTTTCGGTGTTGATCGTTTCCTGAGGAATACGCCATGCATTCGACTTCATTAAACACTATTAAAGGTGATTGAATTCATATTTGGCATTTATAGTGACTCTTGGACGCCTACTAATGTATCGAGTTAGTGTTGTTTATCCCCCTAGACAAGTTTGGTACCAATTTGCCGACCTCGGGGAACGAAAGGTTTGGTGAGACTGAGGCTCGGCTCTGTTCACTGCGCTACACACGCCTCTAGGAAGAAGAGGAATGATAAAAATATGATATGGACAATAATTGTATGGAATTATTAGAAGAGAGTCTTAAAACATTTATAATGGAGCTTTTGGGAAGGAACCGAGGATTTCTTAACCACAGGTTACTATGGGTGCAAATATTGTACCACCTTCCGCGAACTTTAAAATTAATCTCATATTGCATATATTTTAATACTGATGTATCTCAGGGAAACTCTATTGAGCGAAATACTAGCTATTAAGGTCTACATAATTTTGTCAACTACAAAGAAGTTTATTTACACCAGTTGCTCAAAATTCTTTTCTTGAGGCGATGAAATAATTGAGGACAGTTCCGACTTCAGTTTGTCTTCTCAAGCACTTCTCGCACAGGAGGTTATCGATATGATAGAACAAAGTAATGGTCAGCAGGCGAGAATACTGGCGAGTATGGTGGTTGAGCCATTATTTCGTAGCCCAGCTCTTCCTCATTTCTACAGCGTCGATAGTCTTGCATACGGCTGCGAATGTAGTAGAGAAGGAATGGTCCCTTTCTGCTGACCAGTGTGGAGCGCAGTCGTTGAAGATTCGTCGATTTTCGGGACGTGCTTCTCCGCCGTAATCATCTAATTCAAATTCAGGAAGCTGTGTTAGATCATACCAGGTGTCCATCACCAAGCGGTTAGCATAACTTTTACGGAGTTTTATCGCAGGACGACCATTGAACCTATTGTCGCCGTGTACCACAGAGGACCCACTTCTGGCCAATTATCACAATACAGTGCAGGAATAGATTGCTAGTATTGCGTGCGTAAAAGGACTGCTGACAGTAGTTTAAAGCGGAGATTTTCTACATTCTGAGGTGCGGTGGAATAGATGAGATACAGAAGAGTTCATCTGCAAGTTCTCGAACCGTCGTGCGTGTATTCGCTCCCACCAAATCAGTAAATTGATTACCGTCAATAGCAGGATGATGTCCATGAGGTTCGGTTCAACATTGAACGGATTCGTAGAATTTGGCGAAATTGTTGTTTCGACATCCGAATTTCTAGCCTTTGTAGTGAAAAAATTGCTTGTAGTACAATTTAACTATGCGGAACTAAAACGAGCTTTGCTGCGTTGTATGTTGCAAACGCGTTTTAAAAGAAAATTATTACCAGAACATATAGAAGAAAAGAGATTACTAATTGATTAATTTCTAAGACTTTTAAGATTTTGAGACTAAGATTGATTTCCGAGCCAGCTGATAAGTAGTCCTCGTAAAAGAGATCCTCAAGTACCTTAGTCGAAGAAATGAGCCATGTAATATTCTCAGCATTTTCTAAATCTCAAACTCACTCAGCCACTGCTCTGATAATCAAATGAAAAAAGTTTAGAAAGTGACAGAAGTTTTACCGGTATATTTCTCGACACAGGTTTTTTTTATTTTCAGTCTTTTTTGCTTTAATGAACTTTGCTGTTTAGATGCTCAGGTGGTGAAATTCGATGAGAAATCTGATGCCTCTTTCACTTGTCCCATTTATTCTGTGCCCGGATCAAAGGTGAAAGATAGTTTTTGGCGTTTTTTAGATAACAAGGCACCATATGACATTGTGCGAATGTCAGCACTTCTTTAACTCAACTCTTACACATCTAGTATCTGGAAAGAACTGCGAACTAGTGTTCATGGATTCCTGCTCTTTGGGGACCTTCCTCTTTATGATTGTCGTTGGCTGCTAGCCAAGTTGATTCTCCCCAAACACCTGAGATGATGGTTCTAATCTATAGGGAATGAGTTTCCCCAGACAAGTCTGGTGTCAATTTCTCAACTCCGGAAAAATGGAATGGTTGATAGGCACAAGGCGATGTCCAGCCGGCGTCGGAGTTGGTTCGCTTTTCAGCGCATTAAATGGCGTCACTACCACCACGCTACCCTTTCCATTTTGGAGATTTAGGATTCTTTATTATCTCTGGCCTCATTATAAGCAATTTCAGGTCGAATGGTCTCGTGTAGACGGAGATTTGCCTAGAAATGCACTTCCTAATGGAAATAAACTCGAGTAAGTGGATGAGCCTCATGATTATTATATGTGGAACAGTTCTGTGATAGAAGTTGCTTGCCGGAGACAATGACTGACCATGGATTTTGCACTGATATCACTACTTATTATGTCTGTCAACAATGACTTCTGCACCCATGTTTCAAAATGACCAGTAGTCTCATGTGGAAATAGAAACAAAAAATGATCCGGAGAAGAGAATGTTTCGAATTTCGTGGGAAGGCTTAGCCACAGGATAGAAGATGGCAACATTGTGTGCTCAATTATTAACAAATTTTGTTCCTTGAATTCTGAAAAGAATGAGTACGAAATATAATGCCTCTTTGATATCAGATTTGAGAATCGTTAACTTTTTCGAAAATCTTCCTCCTAGAATCAAAGATTTCGATGACACTGCAGCTGGAATGTACATGTGCAAGGTGACATTCGGTAACGAAGTCGTTGAAGGCTACGTGGATGCTCAAATATTTGGTTAGTATTCGGCTAACGGTTGAATTTCCACTTTTTTCTTGTTTATGACTGTCTTCATCTTCATGATTTTTTGTTGATACCTTTATTTCTAGTACCGGATACGATTATCCAAGTTTTGCTTGATGTTTCCTCTGAATCGGTGAACGTTGGTGATAGAGCATGGTTTGATTGCAAGGTAGGAGATACCTGACATCTTTATCTCGTTTTGCTACGTGCAGTTTTTACGACTACTACGACCGATTTCTAATAGGTGACGGGTGATCCATCAGCTATTATTATGTGGTCCAAGGAAGGAGCCGATGAATTGCCAGAAAATGCCCAGGTAAATGAGCTATTTCTATTGCATTTCTGCAATCTAATACTGCTATCTAATTATGATTTTTCTATTTATCTTTTTTACAATCGGATAGTGGGTGCCTGCTTTACATAAGATTATTTTAGTGAAATATCTAATAATAGTGGCATTTGAAATGAGGTACGAGGTGGATAGGAGTCACCTCCAATAAATTAGCTCCCCGTCTAGTCTGAGAGAGACTGGCAAGCTACCCGAGATTGTACCTAACTATACCCAAGCCCCAAGTTCAAAGTTGGGTAATGGTAGGGTGTGTAAGACGAGTACCGAAAGGTTGCTAAAATCTCAGGATCACGCTAGACTGCTTAAATCTTAAGGGAGTAAGGTGACGATCTGTACCTACAATGCACCTTTCTTTGAATCTGGGTCCTCGATAGAGGGTTTGATCACGCAGGCAAGAAGGAAAAGGCACGACGTCATCGGACTCATTGAGAAGAGAAGACGCCATCCCTCAACTTATTCTATGGCAACTGTTCCTCTTCGAACAACTAACAACCCGAGTCAGATATTTGCGATTAAAGAGATGTTGAACAAGACCAGCGTTGTGAATCCTTGTCGTTTACGCTCCTACGGCAAGCTATTGACGAAGACGAAATCGAAGCGTTTTACGTCGATTTGGATAAGTCATTAGTGAAGGTTTTAACACTCGGCTGGGTCAAGAAGAGCGTCTGAAAAACGTTATATAGCGATTCGTGGATTGGAATGGAACAAACAGGGTGAGTGTGTTTCTGAGGTCGTCATGACCATCAAGACCAATTATGGTAACAAACATTTCCAGAAGCCTTACTCTCAACGCTGGACGTAGGAGTCTCCCAGCGGAGAGTAACAACATAGACGACCTCATAGTAAATCGAAGGTTTTGCATAGCAGATGTCGTTATTATTCCACAATTCTACATAGGATCAGGCCAACACCTTTGTGCAAGATTTCATTTCTTGCGGAAAAGAGAAAAAGCGGCTGAATTCAGAACACGAAATCCCAATCCACCACAAACTCCGATTTATTCACTTCAATAGTCGGCGTTAGTAGAACATTAGTAGAAAAGCACCAGGTCCGGAGAAGATAAGATTTGAACATCTTAAGAAGCTTCTGGCAGTCCTCTTGAACACACTGGCTGTGCTCTTCACACGTTACCTTTCTTAATGCAAGGCTCCTATTCACTGGACGACCACCAAGATCGTGTTATTGTTCAATAAGGGTGACCTCCATGAAATAGGCAACTATCGCCCAACCTGCTTTTTGTTTCTCGTCTACAAACTTTTAAATCCAGTCTTCCTAAACATTGTTGGTAGAACATTTAACGGAGGACATCGATATGAGCAAGCAGAATTTCGAATAATTGAGTACGATGGACCAAATCTACACGATACCAAAACTCATCGATGCAGCGCTAGACTACAAGACACCGGTGTGGCTCACTTTTATCGATTTAAGGGAAACTTTTGATTCAGTTAAAATAGAAACGCTCACGGAAGCCCTGGATAGCTAGAGCGGCCTTACCCGATAAATAAAGATTCTTCGTGAACAGCATAAAAATTTCACTGCGAAAAGGTCACCATTCTAGAGCAAAAATAACATCAGCGTCAAAAAGGAAGTTAGGAAAGAGATATCTTGGCTACTTACTTGGATGGCCCGCCCTCACTGGTTATGCCTGCTCCAGCATAACCTCCACTTTTCCGGAGTTTTTTTTTTTGGTTTAGCCATTGTAGTTCTCTGGAGTCCCGAGGTCAGCTTGGCCAAAATCTGGCTCAGGTCGTTGCTACCACAGGCAATCGCTGGTCTTTCAGAGGGAGGTTTACCGCCTCGCGACTACTTTCATACCAGGGCGGTGGAAAATTCTGGTATTGATTCCTGATGGAAACGTCGGATTCCTTCTCAGCTTAGGAGACCCTACCGAGAATGAATTCTCCCCACTGTTCATCGCACCCCGAGACTCAGGCACACCAGCCTAGATGAGGCGGTAAACCGTTGGGAGTGAGGCGATATCATCTTGCCAAAATTGCTGCCACTCTCCAGAACGTCATACCAGCATTCGAATAGGACGACATCGGAGTGAAAATTGAAGGTCAGTGAATCATGCCATCTTAGCTTTGTTGATTGTTCTCGTAACAGCAAGAATTAGCTAAACGGTATGAGTGCTGAACAAATTTGATACCACCTGTGGAAAGATTGTTCGTCTAAATCTCACAAAAGTAATGTCCATAAGGAACGAATTGGTTTTGTATGCCGTATTCACGCTCAACGGAACGAATATTTCGAATTCTCCTGCTTTGTCTATCGATGTCGTGAAATTAAGAATGCTTAACGACTTAGCTCCAGGATTGAATAGACGAAAGCGAACAACTTGAGGAGCTTTCAAGAGGATCGAGGATGCAGTGAGCAGGAAGAAGAACAAGGAACACACCCGACTTCATGCTTATTTTTTTGATTCCATGATTCTTTCTGCCCTAACGTATGCGTCAGAACTCTGGTCGTTACTCGTTGTTGAATGTGCAGTCGAAAGAACAGTGTTAAGAGTATCTCGTTTCAAGCAAGTCAGGGAAGGGATCCGAAACTCCGGCCTGCGCCAACGGTCAAAAACCAAAGATGCCGTTCTATACGCTAAACTGTCGAAAATATATGGCGAACCCGGGCGCGTAGTGCATATGGACCACAACCGATGAACAAGAGCCCTTAGTGATGGATTTCTCGGAATATCGGACGTACTGCGGGAAGACCACCGGCCTGACGGTCGGAGTTAATCACGAAAAGGCTAGGAGAGAGGTATGATGTTCAACGAGTCCCTAGAGCAAGCAGAACTCACTGGCTACTGTTGCGCGCGACAGAGAGAAGTGGAATGTTTACTTTTGCCAGCTCGTGTGAATAGACCACCAACAGGACGGCAGGTGAAACAGTTGAATGTCATTTGAGGGTATTCAACATTTGTAAGCGGTGCCACTTCGATAATTGGCATGTTTGCTAAATATCATCTTGACTCAAACTGAAGCAGTGTTTTGCAAAACGTATGCTTATTGTGGTGAGTTTTTTTCGTATCTGTAGCTCTTTTCGTTGCCATGAGACACTTGATCGTTGCATTTGGCGAAAATTCTCCGTCCTACTATGAGCCTTCATGCACACAGGATTCGTAGTAGTCGTACGCGATGTAACCTTACATCTTCAGCTAAACGTTTTTGAGCAGCCGATTCCAACGCACAGGTATTCGCTAATACAAAATGATCAAAAATAGGTATAAATACTTTAAAATCTTTTAATTTCAAACAACTTTACAAGGCTGCTCTAAAGCTCTAGGTGAGATTTAACTGAGAAACATTTTTTTAGGGAGGTAACACATCTTTCTGACCCATATGTAATTTGGAAGTGTGTGCTCGTTGAGAAATCCCCTTCGTTTATAGGTCACTGATGGTCGTTTGCTGTTCACAGCAGTAACAGAAGACGATGCTGGTGTATACAAATGTCGTGCGAAGACGAAGGCCGGCCCACTGGAGACACGGACCGTTCTGAACATCGGCTCAGCAAAACGCAAGCGCAAGCATGTACGCGGCCGTCACGCCCGACGGAGCCATCGACGGCGTTCCGCGCATGCGACGTCGGCAAGGCGGAGGATGCGTGCGCCGTCGTTGACGCACTCCTTGTTTGGCTCGTGGTTCAACACTCACTAGCGCACTGCCCAACCAATAACCCACTGCCAGTCCGCCAGGACCATGCACCAATGTCAGAGTCGTGTTTGCATGAATATCAAATTCACTCGCAACCCAGTGCTTTTCTGTTTATTTCTCTCATGTTTTTTCCCTTGTGTAGTGTCTGATTAGAGACTGCCATTCTTTCCCTCACTGATTTCCTTTTTGGAGTCACTGCTTTGGTGCTGTGCATATTTACATTTTAGTATGTAACGATTGATTTAACATAGAGATCAATTGTTTCATTTTGTGAATAAATGTTTGATAACTTGTGGTGGGTGAACTTATCGCATGCACTTTTCTTGCCGTCTACAATTCTCCACCAATCCTCAAATTTCTGACGCCTCCTGCCCCTATTTTACGTTGTTCAGTGATGAAGCTACACAGCTTTGTTCCTTGGAGGAATGACAAAAAGTGATCGGAGGTTTCAGATATTAGTGAATTATTGATGAGAGAAGTAGAAGTGTGAGCATGCTGCTAATAGATAATAAAAGGCGTGGCGGCCAGTTGAGTGCAGTTCAAGGCATGCTACCTACTCAATTACATATGTACTTCATATCAAATACTTTTAGCTCAGTCGGTGACCCTACCACTCATTAGATCAGTTGGCGATGAGGTACGTTTGCAATTTATAGATACGCTAATTATTAAAAACCACTTTTTGTAAAAGAAAAAGGAAACGGTGAAGGTTTGCCTAGGTACGATTGGGGATTTTTTAAATTACTCTCAAGGTTTATCTATTTCTCCCTTTTGTTGACACATAGCTGGTATGAAGTTCACAGCGCTTCATTCATCGCTGCCTTAGTTACCCAACCAGCCGTCGTCTGTCAGTGCACTCCGAATCACGATTGTTACTGTGATCGTTCCCGAATCTCACAATCGTGCGCTTTAATCCACAAATGTGTATCGTTAGAAATCTTTGAAGCTTGAGATTCTATATTCTTTAGTCTAAATTGACTACGCGGAAAGGTATGAAATGAAAACAGTCGAACACAATTTCTATCCACTTTTGGTTACCTGCTCACGATCTTCTGAACTTCACACAGTTAGGTTTCTTTTTTTGTGTTTACTCCGAACTCGTCGCCTATGTTTGCCTTTTCACGTAACTCAAGTCAATTGAAAATACATCGAAACCTTATTCTTGAGAATCACATCAATAATGTTACAACGGTGCTATTACTGGCCAAGGCTGAGTACTTTTCGAAAATCATCTCATTCCTGCAAAGGACTTTCGCTAAGCATTAAGCTTTCCTAGTCTGAAATAACATGTTTGACGTATTTGTGAGCTACCGATAAATATTATGTTCAGTCGCTAGATTTTAATATCACTGTCGATTGAGATTTCCTTCTACGTCACATAATGGCATCAACAGATATTAGTTCTATAATAATCTTTTTATCTAAACATGATTCATGAAGACCTCCCAATGGATTATCGCCTCATCGTGGCTAGGAGGTGTTCCTAGGTGTCAGGTTGTGATGTACAGGGGGGGATTCATCCCCCTGTTAGGGTCTCCCAAACTGAGAAGGAGTCCGGCGTTTCCATTAGGAAGTCTAGCTAAGAGTAAATCAATATAGGATCCAGCACCGTCATGGTATTAAAGCCACATGATGGCAAATCTTCCCTTGATCCACAAAGGCGGCAACTACCTGTGGTGGTGAGGACCTGGGGCGGGCTTTGGCGTGGCTAACCTCAGGACTCCAGGGAAGCACAGCAGCTAAACCCGCAAAGCTCTGAAAATATGGAAATAGTGTTAGGACCCGCACAATCAGTGAAAACAGGCCATCCAAGTATCTGAATAGTAATTCATAAAGAACTGAACCAATGCATGAAGTGCAACATTCCTATGCTTTCTATACTAAGTCATTTATCACAATGTCGTTCCTTTTTTATTTACTGCTTACTCTTTTTTTAATGGTAGAACATTATGTGAAATGCAACCATAATAATGCTGAGATATTTGCAAAGCTCCGGATCGCTGGTGTCTTGGGTATGGACCGAACGCGCTGCTTAACCATTTCCGGAGGCTAACGTGCTCAGCACAACGCCATTCGAGTCCTTTGCTTCGCTTTTCTCTCAGCAGTGTTGTTAGTGCTAAGCCATTAATGTATTTAATCGTATTTCTAACGATATCTTGAACTTCTCAAAAAGAACTGTACTGAAGCTTGCTCCACATGAGAAATTCCACTAGAGGAACCCATTGTAAAAGAGCCTCATTCCATAATGGTAAATGATGTCATCTATAACTCTTGTATCAAAGAGTAGAGAGACAGTATCTTTGTGTTGTAATCAGTAAAACTTCGTCTGAAGACGTCATTCTGGGTCCAGTAGATGATGAGCGAAAACGGAACGCCTAGGGTGGAAAAAAAGCGTCTGGTATCTCATTTTGTAGATTCTGGAATCTCATAGTTTTTTAGTGCAGTGTGATTTTCAGGGTAGTAACTCCATTGTAGAACTACTTGTTAACATCCTTATCTAACCACAAATGCTTTATTTCTTGCTATGCTGTCAGAAATACATACACCTTCACAGTAAACTCGACAGTTAGTGAGCGGAAGTTCCATGAATGTAATCACCTTTGGCATTTCTTTTCACTGCCTTAAATAAAGTGCTTTTTTATTTTTTTTCATTCCGCCCTCAAATTTCTCTATTCTTCCATAAAGGTGAAGGGAGCTTTTTGTTTGCGTGTGATCTGGGATAGGATAAATGTGAAGGGATAGACATCTAGATGGCCCCTCCTCTCATATTAGGCGAATCGCAGCACTTCACTTTTTCCATTACTTTTGCTGTGCCGCAACCATCATCAACGAACGTGGCTCAATCCATGTGTGGATTCACGACGATCTGTGGAATCTTCTTACTAATATGTTGAATGGGAGTCGAGTACGCCCACTCACGAATACTGAACTAGATTTCCCGCCCTCTACGGATTGGAGGAAGGTTTACTTCCTCGTAACTAAGACCTCTATAGAAGCAGCGATATCTTCTATTGGCTGCAATGCCGTTTTAGTCCCATACAAAAGGACGAACAAGAAAAGTGTAGAAGCCATGGAATTTCCTTAAAAAATTGGCAAATATATGTAGGATTCGAAAATGTCTGAAATACAAAAGTGCGTGACAAAAGGCTTAAGGCACAGCAGAGTGAAATTTCAATTTTTTGTTGCGATACATTTTTTGCTGAGAAGTGAAGCTAAGAATAAAACCTTTCATTTGAGGTTTTCCTGTCGTGTCACACTCCCACAAAAGATGCTACGACTGCAAATTGGGAAAAAATTGATGGAGAGCTGCAGTCAGCTGCCAACACAAGCCGAGGAGTACTACGACTTGCCTCGATTTCGAAGGAAGACGAGGGAAGGTTAGTTTAATTGAACTATACACAATTATCCAAGTGGATAAAAATAATCTAACAGTTCAACGGTTTCATTTCGATCATCTTTTAAAATTCACAAACCAATTCAGTGGTTTGAAGTATTTTGTGCTAATGAAAAAATTAAGCCTTGCGTAATAAGAACAAGATAATCCTTAACGGCCGGTTTTGATCAAGGAAACAAACGCATAAACGAGTTCAAATATTGGATGCCTACCAAAATGATTTTCTAACTGAAAAATACAGAAAACGATACTCTCTTATCTCCGTTGTTTGATCATTGCTGACAAAACACTCCCTACTCCAGATCGAGGAGTCATCGGTGCAACGCCGACCCATAGAAGTAGTGTTGAAGTAGGCCAGATCACGACGCTTTAAGAGGGGTTCCCACTTCCGACATCAGAAAGACCATTGGCACTAAGCTGCTTGACATGATATTAGATTAAATAATTTTCCAGGTATCAATGCACCATTACTGAGAAAGGCACAACAACGAAATCCATAGTGGAGCTTCAAGTTCACGGTGGGTTTTCGATGAAGTGGTTTTGCAATCCTTTACAATATTATCGTTTGACCTCAATATTTCTATTTCTTTTTGAGGCAAGTGTCTAGCAAATTGACATCCTCCTCATCTCTTCCTATACTTTCATATATACCCTCTTCCACAAAACCTCTAACCTCTTTCTCAGAAATTTTGAGTCCAGTCACACATGTCGTGCGTTCACCGTCGACTAAAAACCTTTCCCATACGTTTCGTTGTCTTCCCACAGTTACATACTAATATGATTAAGTTCAAGCGCGCAATACTCCACCGTCGCATGAGAATTTCTCGTTTCTCTTCCTCACTGGCATGCTAAATGCTGGTTGGGCGTGACTGTCCTTGAAATTCTGAGATAGTCGAACTAGAACGGTTCCACTTCTTCGCTATCCACAGTAGGCGACCTTTGTGAAACAGAAGGAGTTTTGCTGCCTCGCGATTGGAGTTTTTTCAGAAACACAGTGAATCTTGCGGTTAGGCGACAGGCGGCTCGAGATCGTTCTAAACAGGCTAAATCTACGTCCGATAAGAGTTTTTCTGTAAAATTGAAAATCTCACGCATCGTTGATTCTATTCAGAAGCTGCGAACAAATAACTTGTTTAGTAGAGGAAAACCGAAGTGTAAGATGAAGTAAACCTAATAGGTACCGAAATAAAATTCGGGTTGGGACAAGATGTTAAGTGTATGCAAACGGTGCAAATTTCTATAGTTGGACTAGTTCTGCTGATGTATGCGCAAGGCGCGATGTCCATTCGCCTCATTATTTGATCACCCATAGGACCATGCTGCACAAATTTCAAGTCGTTGTTTTCCTCACTTTTCTGATTTCTAGATGTCCATCGAACGTGACAACCGTTGTTTCAAAAATATGTGTGTGCTGTTTTCGACGTTTGTCCGATCTTCTCATTTTGCTTTAAACATAGACAATCAGACGAGTTTTTAAATAGTTCAAATCAACATGCTAAAAAATAGGTAGTTCAGTTTTTCTTCCAAGTATTATTCGATTGGGCGGAGTCATGTACGTGTAGGTAATGGACTCGAGAGATCTGCGACTCTTACTCTTCTCTTTTTTTGA